CCCTCATGTGTCAGTAAAACCATAGTAAAAGTTAGAGATGATCTTTGGCATCCTAAAGGCACGTTTCAACTGTCTTCGGCGCTTAAGAGTCACCAGAGTGGGCATCACAGATAGTGTCTGCATGTGCCATTCTGCACAATATAGCCACCATAGAAAGGAGCCAGGGGGGAAAGAAAGCAATAGAAAGTTGCATTAATAAATATTCATGCTAAAGTGTTACTTGGTTAAATAAGTTCACATGCTGAGTGAGATCAGTTTAATCTAGCTGTTGCATTTATTTTTTAAATGTGGAGCCTCCTCAGCTCACAGTTAGGCTCCTTTAGTGTGCAGTCTAGCTCTATATGCTCCTTTAGTGTGCAGTCTAGCTCTATATGCTCCTTTAGTGTGCAGTCTAGCTCTATATGCTCCTTTAGTTTGCAGTCTAGCTCTATATGCTCCTTTAGTGTGCAGTCTAGCTCTATATGCTCCTTTAGTGTGCAGTCTAGCTCTATATGCTCCTTTAGTGTGCAGTCTAGCTCTATAGGCTCCTTTTGTAAAGGGCCCTGACTGAGTCTGTTTCCACCTGAAACATAATTCCACCACAAACATGATCATTACAAGTTTTTGGGAGGCTAATCAACTCACAAAAAGTTCCTTGACAAACACCTGTTATATATGTCAAGGGTTTTAAATCCTTAATTGTTCACATTTCTTTTGAAGCCTGTTGAGGTAGAGGCTTCAGTTTCTGGGACAGGTTGTGAAAAATCCAAAAAAAAAAAACAATAAAAGAGATGTGTCACTTGGGCCAGTCCCTGTTTTATGCCACACATTCAAATGTTTGCCTTAATAAAAAGCCCAGTGCATTCACCTCAGCAACTGTCCCAGAACACAGACAGAGTGTCTTCATCATTTCCTCCTCCCTGATAAATAAAAGTAGGCCAATATGTTTCTGGTGTTCTGTCTTCTGCATACTGACCTCTGTGTTGGGGAGACTGTGTGTGTGTGCTGGCTTCAACAGGGACACTGCATTTCCCTCTACTGCAGAACATACAGTCAGCCATATTTAAAACTTAAAATAGTAATGCATCGCACACGTACCCAGTGTTACTTGCTTAGATGAGCCGGCACCAGGGTCAGATTGTACAGCACCTGTAATCCCATCCATAATCAGCCGTCCCTTATTCCTATCAGAGCCAACTCAGTGTTTTCTGAAGGAGTGGCCCTCCACTGGTTTTCTGAATTTCACTCTTTTTTCGGTTTGCCTCAAACAAGTGTTAATAAAAAAATAATACAAGGTTGTGTGTAAATACTTACTAGGCTACTTTGAATTATATTTTTATATTTTGTCTTTATCAGCTGCCAAGATTGTTTGGAGTTGCATCTAAAAATCAATGAATATTAATCTTTATTAGTATATACATGCACATTTTTTATATATATTATAAAAATATAGGCTATATTTCACACACACATACATTCATAGCCTATTTATACATCATTTTACATGAATAAAGAACGTATTTATTTAGCTTACACATTAACACAATCAGCAATCTTTCTCCAACAGTCTTCTCTTGCTTTGGCAGCAGAGACCGTATTGTTTCGAGCTTGTAATACATATTTAAATTCATCGTAATTCTGAATGAATAGGCTTGTTTGAGATGAGCAAAATCTGCGCAGAACCGATCACCGGTGATCAGCGCGAGATGCATGCCGGTTAGAAATGTGTCCGAGTGCGGTGCGCCTTGCTCTGATGTCATGCTGACGTGTGTCAAAAAACTCTCGCGACCGCAAGGCGCACGTGTCGGATTCTGCAGTCGCGCGCAGTTGCTCTCCACCGACTGCGCTGATCAAAAGCATGATGGGAAACGACTTGCTGACGGCACAGCTTAATGCTCATTGGTTTAAACAACCGTGATGTATTGTTCTCTTTTAAAATGTTTGATTTTAAAACTCTGATATCATGTTTTATGTGTATAGATTATGTGTGGATATCCCCAAACTCTCTGACAGTGCGATCTATGTGATGTAATTTTTAAAAAAATAAATAAAAATAAAAACACATATCTGTAAAGAAAAAAAATGACTCATAAACATATAGGCCTATTTAAAATGGAATTAAATAAGTACTTTGGGTGTCTTGTTCATTATATTTATTTTCATATTCAAGCAACAAAACTTAAAATAGCCTACATCCAGTTTATTAGCAACACCGTGCACGAGTGTGAATCCCGCGATATCCGCCTTTGATCTCACAGGTGTCAGATCCACTGCGAGAAGAGCGATCTGTCCGGCTTGCCTGCGCTTTTTTCACTCCTCCTCTCACTGCAGCCGCCTACTCTCGACTACATTTCAGGCGAGGCAAGGCGCATCTCAAACAAGCCTATTATCTCTTGCTCCTCCGCGGAAAGAAAATAGGCTTGTTTGAGATGCGCCTTGCCTCGCCTGAAATGTAGTCGAGAGTAGGCGGCTGCAGTGAGAGGAGGAGTGAAAAAAGCGCAGGCAAGCCGGACAGATCGCTCTTCTCGCAGTGGATCTGACACCTGTGAGATCAAAGGCGGATATCGCGGGATTCACGGGATTCACACTCGTGCACGGTGTTGCTAATAAACTGGATGTATTTTAAGTTTTGTTGCTTGAATATGAAAATAAATATAATGAACAAGACACTCAAAGTACTTATTTAATTCCATTTTAAATAGGCCTATATGTTTATGAATCATTTTTTTTCTTTACAGATATGTGTTTTTATTTTTAATAAAAACTAAAAAAAATCACATCAAATAGATCGCACTGTCTGAGAGTTTGGGGATATCCACACATAATCTATACACATAAAACATGATATCAGAGTTTTAAAATCAAACATTTTAAAAGAGAACAATACATCACGGTTGTTTAAACCAATGAGCATTAAGCTGTGCCGTCAGCAAGTCGTTTCCCATCATGCTTTTGATCAGCGCAGTCGGTGGAGAGCAACTGCGCGCGACTGCAGAATCCGACACGTGTGCCTTGCGGTCGCGAGACTTTTTTGACTCACGTCAGCATGACATCAGAGCAAGGCGGACCGCACTCGGACACATTTCTAACCGGCATGCATCTCGCGCTGATCACCGGTGATCGGTTCTGCGCAGATTTTGCTCATCTCAAACAAGCCTATTATCGCTCTCGCTCTATCCATATCGAACGCGATTGGTTGTTCGGTGCCAACGTCACTTTGGTATGTGCACGCGCTCGTGGAGTAATCAAAGCCTGAGTTGACAGAGAAAGTTGATGAGCTGCGTCATGGTACCAATAAAGCCTGATTGCATCGGTTTGGTTTTGTCAACTCAAAACTAATCCTGTAACTCCGAGTTTGTTCAGCTACCTTCATGGTACAGGCCCCTGGTGTGCTGCCTACACAGCATGATGAACAACACCCTCAAGGTAGCCAGCTCACTGGCTAATCATTTGTAAAAAAAAACAACAACAAAAAACAACAACATTACATTTATTAGCCAAACGGTTTAATATAATATACAGTTTTATTATTAAATATATATTTTTTTTTTTTACAAATTATTTGATTTCTTCTTCTGAGACTAACAAAGCAGCACACATTTCTGACTGTTTTTGCAAATATATATATATATATTATTTAAATATTATTATATAGGCCAATATAATATAAACAACTCCAAGACAAGTTGTTATTCCAAGATAGACCAGAGCCCCTGTAAGACCTAAATCCCTTTAGCTTTTCATTTGGAAAAGAAAACAAACAGGGGGATGTGGCATTCAGAGAGGGGAAAGATAAACGCTCGTCTGCACACACGTCTTTGAGAGAGAGATGAAATTTAACAGGCTTTACTTCTGGACGGTTGCACACACACCTTATTGTCTTCTGATGAAAAGGCAAGGAGATACTCAAACCCTTGCAAAAAGGCATTTCCTTTAAAACATGATTGTTCAGTGCATCGTGTACTTGCGTGTAAAATACTTTAAAACACTTATAATAAAATATACATATATTTGCTCAAGGACAGTAAAACAAACTCCAATAAAGTGATTTCAGTAAATTCAGCATGTAATATTGGTCCTGGAACAACAATCCTGTTGATTCAAGAACATGTGGAACTAGGGGGAAAAAATTGTATAGTAAAGGGAATGCAAGTTAATATACACAAAGAGGATGTGTAACAGGATGTGCATTAAGACAGAAGCAATAGACCCCTCCCTTAAAGGGCCCCAAAAGTGAGACAGAAACCGTATAAATTGAAAATCAAATAGGAGATGCTTCAGTAGACTTAATAAAACTGCCTTTGTATAGGAACAGCTCATTACGTAATAAATTGCCTGTCTGCTAATCTTTAACATGTTTGCTCACATACTCATTTTGGAGTGGCTGTAGGCTATGTAAACTGTGAAAATGACAGACTTCTCTCTGATGACGTATGCTAGATTTCTCCAATCATTTGGTGCAATTAAACCCCACCCCTGCAAACTTGCATTCATCTGCCTTCATCTGCCACATCTTAAAATTCAATACACAACGATGCAGAGCCAAATCCCCACCCCACATTTTTTTATTTTTTGGATAATCTGTTAAAATCATATTCACGTCACAATACGGAAGAAAATATCTCTCTCTCTCCCTACTTTGATTTCACCATGACTTTGCAGTGATTCAGGGCACATTCCACAATGTTCAGACTGATAACAAAACTGAAATTATTCAGACATAATATAGCATCGATATATAATATATATATATATATACACACATGATCTAAAACAACTTTGTCAATTTTTTTGTTTTGTTTTTTGTTTCAAATGTTAACTTTTCTGGCTTTACCGTTCACAACTGCTTCTTAGATCCCACTATGACTCTGTGTGTGTGTGTGTCTACTTTACATTCTTGCTTCTTACATGACTTTAACATAGTCTTTACATTTACCGGCTTTAAATGCAAATTGCCTAAACCAAAGCCACTGGGGTGGCTTGATCACAGTCTCTAACTGAGCAAAGATTGGGACAACAAATCTGGCAAATATTACCTCTTTAATTCAAACTTATTTCAACCATCTCTGTATGGTCTCTTTATGCAATGTTAGGTAAAAACAAATCTGAAAACGTTACAATTTTTTCTTATTTTTGTTTAAATTAAGTAACTGCTCATGGACTGGACCCCCAGGATCACTTGACCATAAAAAGCTTAACCTTGTTAAAGGGCATGTGAAGGGATTCAACAGCTCAAAAGTACAATTTACAACTCATATCATTTATTTCACCAAGCCCAACATATGACCATGAAACGCATTCAAAACACCTTTTTTCAAACTCAAGACTGTATATAATCAGAAGAACTAAACCTGTTTTTAACACTAACTTAAAGTAAACAGGAAGTGATCGAAACCAAAAAATAAATAGCATTTCTTTTTTTCTCCTCGCATAATATAAATATAACACAACTATAATCAAAGGCATTTCCAACATCAGCAAATTTTAAAATAAAATCTTTTCCTAACTGATTTTGTCTCTATGCGCACATGACGAAGGCAAGACAGAGATTGTCAACTTAAATGGTGAATGGAGATTATTCCCTTCACAAATGACAGCAGAATACACTAAACAGACCAATATCTTAAAACAAGTTCAAAACTAATAAACGTCATGTAATATCTCACAGATCTGTTGTGTCACTACATGATCGATTAATTATTGACATGGAGCTCTGAATACTCTCACCGTCCTATTTTGGGGTGATACACATAAGTTAAAGGACTAAAAAGTCTGATACAGTGATGGTAGTGTATTTTTATACATGCTACACTGAGTTCAAATTCAGTTTGACTGGTGTTCTGTATGATTATCAATCATAAATAGACATTTGAAAAAAATATAACAGCATTTTTGGGGTCACCAAGCAGGATGATGTGATGGAATCCATCTTCCTGTCTGGGTCCTGTGATATCTACCACAGGAAGGGTGCAGTTTCCATTACCGGAAAATACTGTTATCATGTTGAACCATTCTGTATGGCATCCTGAACACACAAACAACATATTTTCTATGCAGATAAGCATGCATCTGATCATTTGAACAAGAAAATCAATATGCAAAACACCATATAGCAGCTGCTATTCGAAATAAACATGTTATAAAGAACACAACAGAAACAAAATAACTGAATCATTGGGAGACAATAGCCATCAAAATTGAATAACTTGTTTCCTTAATGCATTCACTGATGAAGTATTATAATTAGGGTTGGGCGATGTGGCCAAAAATATCACAATATTTTTTTTCCATATCATACTATAACATGATATATATTTATCATGATATTCATTTACCATTAATGGGGAAGGAAATGCTTTCCACATATTTGTTAGATCTTGAGAATGACAGAACAGACAGAATTGTCACAACAGAATTGTTTAAATTAAAAACATGGATAAAAAAAAATATGATATTCCTTATATTACTATTATTACTTTTAGAAGTACATTTGATTTTAGTATACAGTAGTGATATATTTCCGTCGTTAAGCCAAACTTTTATTTTGATGGTTTGTTGTGAAGATCTTTCCGTTTTAGTTTCAGTGTGTATTTGACAGTAGTATTTCTCAAATGAAAGGGTGAAAAGCTTGTGAAGTGACTCTCAAAGCAGTTCAGGAAATTAAGTCATAGGTTCATATCCACATATATTGAGTGAGTGTCACATGTGTGAGCTTGGAGAGCCTGCTCACTGCAGAGCAAATGGGTGGAGCTTAACCCTCTGGGGACCAAGAACGCACCCGTGCGTTTTGGCAGATTTTTTTCACATAGCAGAAAAATAGACTTAAACTACTCCATCATTTCTGGTCATACAGAGTTATGAAACATATAAAAAAAAAACTGTTAAATGTTAAACTGTTAAGACGTTTTTATGCGCCCACCTACAATCGAAATAAAATATTGTGCTTTTGTAAAATAAAGAAAATAAACAGGGTGTGCGTTCTGCCTCTCCGTGTCCGTGAACTTTTTTTTTGGAGCACGTCTCTAAACTTAAACAAAACTCAGCTAAATTCACCCAGACATGAGCAATATATGTTTATGATCATTTAAGTTTGTACTTTTAAATTATCTAATTTAAAACTAAAATAAATATTCCCTGTTTATGTAATCTATATAAAAAGAGAGAGGTGTCAGCCGTTCTCATTATCGTTCTCGCATCTCATTATTCCGCTAATGTGACACGCCCATGGAGAGCGCGCACTATTCAAACGCTAATAATCTGAAGCAACACATTGAGACGTGTAAACGCCCACACAAACTCGGTAAACACACTATATTTAGTCAGATTTATGTACTGTCGTCTTGCGCGGCTGTGAGGAATAATCCTGGGACATTTACCTACCTCAGAACAAGTGCTGGTTTATTTTCACTTCGAGGAGCGAGCTGAACTGTAAGTGTTTTTATTCTTGTTCTAATTCGCAATATATAATAACGTTAGTGTCTGTAAACGCAAAAATAGCCTACTGTTTAAATTTGAATCATGTTTCTGTGTGTGTGTGTGTGTGACTAGTTTTGGATAGATTATAAAGTTAACTCTAAAATAGACATCAAATAAGCTTTTGTTAGCAGTTTCTGCTCATATGTTAAATATATAGTATGTTTTGTCAATAAACTAATCAACTAAGAATAGTGTTTGTTCCAATGCAAGCTATATCAAAATAATGAATCCTTAACTTTGAAATATGTATGATAAAATGTATTGGCCTACTAAGACATTTATGGAAAAAGACAATTTTCTTTTCAAGATGTTTCCAACTCTAACTTTGAACCAATTCTGTAGAATGGCCCATATAACCTATTTGAACAGGATTTGTTTCCAGGTATGACTACAAATGTGCTTTTGACTTTCATTTATATATGTATGTGTATGTGTATGTGTATGTGTGTGTGTGTGTGTGTGTGTGTGTGTGTGTGTGTGTGTGTGTGTGTGTGTGTGTGTGTGTGTGTGTGTGTGTGTGTGTGCGTGTGCGTGTTGTCCTTGCATTCTTTCTTGTGTGACACACCTGAATGAAAGGCTCATTAATATGCGGGGTCTTTGTCTTCTCAACCACCTAATTATTCACAATGGGGTTGGGCCGTTCACGCCTATTCGCATATTGCCTTGGCTAACAAAAAAATGTTTTTTCACAATTTAAAAGAATCTATTATGTTATGTGAATGATTAGAAAGGATGATTTTCAGATCATTTTCAAGCAAAAACTCTAGGCCACAACTTCCATTAGTCAAAAGTCTTGTGGTATGTGTTTAGTAGTTTAGTATATTTAGTATGTGTTTTGTGGCTTTATTTCAGAAACTTTAATTTTTAGTTTTTTCAATAACCATGCATAAACAATATTCTCTCAAAAATACAAACATGTACATTAGGGGTGTGACGACACGCTTATCTCACGAGACGAGACGAGACACGAGATTGGGTTCACGAGAACGAGACGAGATTTTTGCACAATTTTTCAGAAATCCTCAATGACAAAATTCATGACTGGAAAAATAGTATGCAGGTGCATTTTTCAATGTTTTAACTAATAATCTTCTAATGCATGTCATTTCAGGTCTACTTTATGAGTATGAATTATCAAATGCATTGAAAGAAAACAATATTCAAGCACTGTAAAAGGTTTTTATTGACTGGCTTTTCTTCTGTATGATTTCACATGAGTCTCTTCAGACCTTAATGTACATGTAAGAGCTTTCAGAGCTTCTGATTGAGGCTGTGTGTGACCTCCTAACTGAACTCCTTTACATACATTTAACAGAGAAATAAAAACAGTATAAATAACAAAAATAAATAACAGTTTTCTCTTAGTCTTATTAAGTGCAAACAATAAGTGCAACCATAATCAAAGTTAGCACACAGACTCTTTATAATTGTTGTGAAATTGCTGTTTTATTTTGCACCGGCAGTTATAGGGTTAATGCAGTGAGTTCGGAAAAGGCCGGGTAGAGAGAAACGAGGCTGGTGCGTTTGTCTCTACAGCGTTCCGATTATAAGTTCAGAAACGGAGCTTCCCTTGTCTGTTGTCCTTTATACGTTACAGTGCTGGGTATTGGGAGACGGACTATTGTATGTATGCAGCCTAATTTGTGCACAATGCACATCAGGGAGCTTGTGTTTTACTTTCACTTACAAATTCGTGACCGCGCGTATAGGGAGCAGCGGTGCTGAGCACGCATATTCTAGAAGATAAGACATTTATCAGACGTTTAGTCTGTTGCGCAACGAATCCTCCGCTCCGCCATCGTCACGCGATCAGTGAACTGGGATTCGTGCTGCACTGATTGCAACAGCAACTCGTGCTGGATGAGCAGAGCAGACTTTCACATTAGTTTATAATGGTTTTTATTTTTTTTATAAAAACAACAAAACGATAGTTTAGGCGAATGTGAGTGTAGCGGTGAAATATTCATGGCGATATCGCGAGACAGCTTTTTCACTCGACGAGAAATCTCGTCATATTTAGTCTCGCGAGATCTCGTGGCACGAGATCTCGTCACACCCCTAATGTATATACATGTTGCTCACATATTATGGTAGCCCTGTTTGTGCTAAATAGAGTGTAATTTCACCTGTGCCATTAATATGTTTATAAGCAACTGAAAAAAGCACAAATGTCAGGGCATGTCAAAACATCTCAAGGACCCCAAAAACACCTTGGTCCCCAGAGGGTTAAAAGTCCGAAATTTTCGCACGTTAAAAAATAAATACAACCTCACGTTATGTCAATCACGCTTGCACACTGCCTCTGAAACTTTCGTCCGTCATATAAAAAAAAATCGGATCGGGTTCGATTTTCTGCGTTTTTCACATCTGTAGCAAGCAGTTTAAATGGTGTTTTGACAATTCACAGCCACCGAATCACGAATACAAAAGAACGCATACAAAAATTGCGGACTCAGTGTGCAAGGACCTTAAGTCTAGCTAGACATCCAGTGAGGAGGAGCGAGTGTACTTTGGGCCTAATAGACTGCATTTTATATATGGGTGGATTATATCTAATGGGTGGAACTGCAATATCCAACCACACCCTAACCCTACACACAACTCTATCCCTCCACCCCATTAGACGTCCAGAGAGGTGGAGCTGGATGTCATTTGACTCTGCAGTGAGCACCACTTGTGAGTTTGTGTATCAGACAAAACCGTGTGCCGTTCATTCACGGATAGACACACAGAAATCACTTATTAGCAACATGCACTGACTAGCTGTTTTCGCGTTTATTTCTGCTGTGTGATAGGCTGTCAGATTATTAATCCATATTGAGAAAAACTGTCTAGACCTTTTCGTTATCGACGTACATTTTATCGCGATGTCAATATGATATTGTTTTACGCCCAGCCCTTTAATTGCAATACATTAATTTCAATTCATGGTCATTCCATTTTGAATGAATCATTTTTTATTGTTGTGGCTCTTACTTTATGCTTGTGTACCACAGGTAGCTTGGATAACAGAAGAGGATCCTGGGATTCTTTAAGAGTCACATCTCCAAGAAGAGAAAGAGAACGAGAGGCACAGAATTCAGACCGCTGCCACCATAGCACCACCCCCACCAACAGCAAACTGATGATGACTAACAGACAAAGAACAAATAAAGGTTATCAAGGGAACATTAGTCCAGACATTTCTCAAAAAATCCTGAATGCATTAAAGGGGTCCTATTATGCTTTTTCACTTTAGTTAGTGTGTAATGTTGCCGTTTGAGCATAAAACATATCTGCAAGGTTACAAAGCTCAAAGTCCACTTCAAAAGGAAGACATTTTATTTAACAGAAGCCACTTTCCAAGAACTATAATGTGTTTTTTCCGGGCTTTATGAAGTCACAATGTTACTCATTTAAATAATCCCCACCCATGGAATACGCAAAAAAAAGGGGACGAGGCCTGGTTGAGCTGCTGCTATGTCAAAGAGATGCTTTATTTCCACCCCTTTTCCAAAACTCATTTGTTTGTCCTTTTCTAAAGCTGACGAACTTAAGAGTGGTTAAAATGTATTGTAAACACTGTTCCTGAACATTATAATCCCAACGTTTATCTGTGTGCTGCACATTTTACGGAGAACAGCTTCCAGAACCTAAGAGAGTACAATGCAGGCTACGCATAAAAGCTTCTCCTGAAATGGAGCAGTTTTCATTTTATCAAGACAATCTGTTTGGATCACTTGTATGTCTTATTATTTGTAGTTGCATTTTCTATTAACAATTACAACTTGCGTTCGAGTAAGACTGGGGAGGCGCTGTAATAATGTAAAATATATAAAAAATGATGTGTTTTTTTAACAATCACGCATGAAAGCATATTCTAGTACACCCCAAAAACAAAATCAAGAGTTCAAGACTTCCTAAAAAAGCATGATAGGGCCCCTTTAAGGTTGCAACAGAGAAGTTGAACCAACCAGTCAAAGACAGAATCCATGGAAATCCTGAATCAGGAAGTGGGGTTCCTGTTCCCGACTGCAATGGATCTTTGTCTGAAAATACAAAGTAAAACTAAAAGCAAGAGGAAGAAAACTAAGAGGAAGAAAGGAACACTTTCTCTTTTTGTTCTTGACACTGAAAGCTGTGCAATGTGCATACAATCAAATTCTACTGTACTGTGCCACAAATGTAGTTGCCACTTAGTTGAAGCCAGGCAAATTGCAAAATCTGAACTGCTAAATGTGGACAATAATGCATTCAGACATTATAAACATTAACACCATGGATGCCTGTTAAGCTCATTTGAAACAATGCGTGTTGTGAATAGCGCTATATAAATAAAACTGACTTGAGAAAACAAGGCATAGTAAAAAAGAAAAAGAAAAGCTTGAACAAATGCTGCTACATGAAACCATTTAGAAAAAAGAAACAATTAGTCTCAGTCATCCTGCTTCTGATCTCAAGTTTTGCTTTTGTATGAGACCCTTTTCCAGTAATTGTTTCGGTGAGTACACAACTAACTAAACTGTCCCTCTTATTTGGTTCTCCCAGTGCACTGTAGTGCTTCACGAGATCCGGAGGGCATTGCAGAAGACTGTAGAATAAAATAAAAAAATCTAACAAATTTTAGAAACCAAGATTATATACCGGTATTTTTCTTTTCAGCCTATGCCATGTTAATCATTCAGTATTTTATCAGATCCATGCATTTTGTCATAATTGTAATACATTTATAGTCAGTTTTTAAAATCACAGGTTAGAACCAGTAGTTTAAAGCATAACAAATAAACAAGGCTTGTACAAAATTAAATGCACACAAGACACAGTTGAAAAAAAAAGAAAGAAAAAAAAAAAACCAGAAGTGGTATTCACAGCAAAGGTGTGATGACAGATCAAATGCAGCATTTTGGAAAGTACATTTCACTTTTTCAAAACTCATATTAAGATTCACAGCACCAATGAAACAGCATGTTAGAGCACACAAAGACTTTCCACTAAGCAACAAAAGGCCACTTGTAGCAACTAAATCAAAACATTGTGTTTGACATAGCAGGTGCTTACCTAACAAAAGAGCAAAATAAGCAAGACATGGTCTACTAAATAGTAAATTGTACCTCAGTCAGTAACTAACAAGAACCTGGGATTATGAAGTTTACCACTAATGTACACAGACACAAATACTCACGTACCAAAGTCAGTCTGTTGTGGGTCAGAGCAAATGAGTTGAGGTTTTTCAGAGAAGAGATCCGTGACGCAGACTGACAAACAAACCTCTCCAGAGATACCGCATGCAGCATGACCTGAAGTTGCATGTGCAAACACACAGGTACAAACACATCAACACATCGAAAAATATTGCATTTCTCTCTATGTATTAGAGTTGTCAGTAGATTCAAACCATGTTTTGGTTTTGTAGCTAATGCGATTAACCACAAATTCTTTTGAAGTTGTTGTAATAAACTAATTTTGTTTTATTACTATTTGTCACATTTCAGAATGATAGTCATCAGAATGGAAGCAAGAATTCTTTAGTGACCAAAATAAAATCGTACACAAATCTGCACACTCTATACGTTCTCTATGAAACTAAAGTTGTCAAATGCATCCTGTGTTGTTTTCTTTAACACTACTGAATAAGTTTATATGTGTCATTTGAAGTTGGCATTTTTAAGATAATGGAAAACATAAATTCAGACAAGTTTTTTCAAACTTATTACCAGCAGAGTATAACTTAGGAGTTGTTAACATGAACTAACGATGAATAATCATTTGTACAGCATTTATTAACCACATCCTTGTTAATGTGTTCATGTTAGTTCACAGTGCATCAAAGTTAGTTCACCCAAAAATTTAAATTCTGTCATTTTTGGTTTGGAACAACATAAGAGTGCGTAATTGATGACAGAATTTTTATTTTTGGGTGAACTAACCCTTTGATGCACTGTGAACTAAAATGATCATAAACCTTTAACTGATGGTAACAGATAGAACTTTTGATCTTAAAACTGTATTAGTAAAAGTTGAAATTGACATTAAGATTAATAAATGCTGTACAAGTATTGATCATTGTTATTTCATGTAAACAAATGAAATCTTATTGGAAACTGTTACCACTAGTAGTGCATCCTTGTAAGTACGTGTAACACTAGATTAAGGTATTTTATTTACCTAAAAATATTTTTTGCCAAAAAGAGCAAACTACAGCTACAGGTTTTTATTTTATTTTAAACAAAAAGCATACATTTACCACTACAGCATAATCAATTATTAACTCTTTCCCCGCCATTGATGGAATTTTCCGGCTTTATGTGTTTACAGTGTTTTACGGTAGGGGGGCGCTATTACGCATCTTCTGAATGAGTACTGAAACTCCTGATCAAAACATATGTGAAGAAAATGCAGAAATAAGCAATATCATATGTAATCATATGCATATGTAAAATAACGCAATCACCAAAAATAAACAGCAAATAAATCAAAACGGCCTAATGTCACTCAGTAAAATGTCGACCCACAACAAGCTATAGGACTGTGCAAGCATTAGGGGTTGATGGACTTGATCTACTCCATCTATGTTTTGACCATCATTCTGAATCCGATCTGGATGTAGTCTGACAAAAACGTGATTTTCTTAAGTGTTGATAAGAAAAGAAAGCATGAAGCTGGAATAAAACTGCTTTTAAACACATTATTTTCTTTAAAAGCAGAGGGTCTCTTCTTTCTTATGATATATTGCATGTTAAGATATACACACAACAAAGTATTCTGGGGGGGCCAAAAGGTAATAAGTTATTAAGAGATTTAAGGATAACCTGTAAGGAGGGTTTGTCTTCCAGGCAAATGGCACTCTACCCCCAAGAGGTATAAACTCTGAATGCAAATTGCTATTGTTAGCAAATGTTTCTGTCTACATAATGAAATGCAGCAAGGGGCTCGGCGCGATTTGTAACTCAGATTAGCCCATAATGTTGAAGGACCACAGGGCTTCAGCATTATGTATTTTTCTAAATGTCGGGTTTAACCTGCATCTTTTACTCATTTGATGTTATTATTTTGATTATTTTTTGAACCGATTATGAATTTGGCACGATACATTTACCTGACATAATAAATTGTAAACATTTGATTTTATTCTAACAAACTCTGACATTATTTTCAGTAAAGAGTTAAAAAGAATAGTCAAACATTGACTTACATATAATGATGCACAGATATCATTAAAAACTTTTCATTTATGGAGTCAGATGAAATAACAAGTTAGTACATCAAAAAATTATTTCATTTAATCAAATTACTTTGCCACGAGGAAAGACAGTAACGCATACCAGCATTGGATCGATTGAGTCGGGCTTACACTATATCCGCACAATTTGGCATGTTTCATTGCATTATCACATATAAAACAATTGACTCCAAGCACAACTATGCAATATACTTACAAAATCTTAAACACATTTTTAATGTTATCTAAACAAAGGGTGAAGAATCTGAAGATATCAATTTTTCTAGGCCGGACATTACTTTTGGCCACTAACAGTGTAAAGATTTTTGTCTACCTGCAGGCTGTAACAGTGGCTGAATGATAACCAGCCCAGCTGGTGAAACGGATCCGAGTCTCTGAGACACCTGGAGCATATTGCCGTTGTGCTTGTCTGCACTGCAGATGGATTTGGTAAATTGGTCACTCCAGTACACTCGACTCTGCAGGGCATATACATCAGAAATTCAGAACTACTCCATTATCAATGGCATTATATATTTTATAATATTAATATTTCCATAAAAATCAAAACACATAATATGTGAATATGGATAATATAAAACTTTATAGTGTCACAGGTGTTTTCGTGTTGTTGCCGTTATAAAATCAACTGTGGTCATTCGTATTGAAATTAATTGCATGCATTGTGTTACGTACTGTACCTCAAATACGGCCAGTCCGAATGGCTGATCTAGATAACCATTGGACTCTACAACCATCTTTCTATGTTGTCCATCAAATGCAACCCTTGATATTGTGCGCAGACCTGAGTCAGCCCAGTACAGCAGACCACGAGGGATATCTTAATAAGGAAAGAAAAAATATATCAATCAGCTTATTTATTAACTTTAACTTGACCAAAATAGATGACACAATTAATGTTTTATCAAACTCTTATTTTGTTTTCTAACTCTTATCTAGTTTTTCTTGTTTGATTAATGGATTAGTTTAAAGGGGTCAAAAGATCAAGGAAAATCCGTTTTCTCATTTTTTGTCATATAAGAGGTCATTGTACAATAAAAATAACCTTTAAGTTTCAAAACTCAAAACTTCCTTGTTAGTCCAAAAATGGCTTTAATTGAAACCAAGCTCCGAAAACTACTTGTTTCGGATTTTGTCACATTATTCCGTCATTGTGTGATGAAAGACTACGTCAGACTTCGTACTTCCGCTCAATTTCAGTTCGCGATAGCGACCTATCTCTCAGTTTTCCTCCGGCCTGAAAACAGCCGGCCAATCAACGAACAGAGGGCGGGCTGAGAGCTGTGACGTAGACGCTAAGCGCCGAGTTTAAGATTGTATTTTGGATTAGGGAAATCGAAAACGACCGCGGATATGGAGATACGGGATGCAATTAGCTCTGTTGTGGAGAATATTCCCGGCATTTGCAAACTGAAGCCCGAACAAGAGTGTTTGTTAAACATTTTGAATGGAGGTGATGTTTAAGTTGGAGAGAGAGGTGATTGCGCTATGTGATTGGCTTACGGGTAACCAATGATTTTATACTTCAGACAAGCGTTTATACTTCAAACTGAATAGTTGTGAAAGTTGCGATTTGCTGTTCTTTCCTTTGCTTCAGCATTTATGGGGTTAATGCATTGGATTAGCCTATTAGAACAGTAGCACCTCATTGCAGTACACGAGATCCAGAGGGCGGAGTTGGATCCAGATCTAAGGGGTGGAGATGGGTAGGATTAGGGGTGGGGTTAGGGATCAGGGGGCGGAGATGGGTTTTAGGTATATGTAAGGTGGGATGGGATCTGGATCCAACTCCTCCCCCTGGATTTCATGTTCTGCAGTGAGGACCATCTCCATTAGAACGCATGTATGTGATCCAAACCATTCGCTGTAAGACTGACTAAAAGCTTCAGTAAGCGACATCTTCGGTTTAGTCATCAGTAAGACATTCCAATGAGTTTAACTTTATTAAAACACGACACTACAAATGACAATGAATTATTTTTTTACTTTATCGAAAATGATGAACTATTAATAACCTATAAGAACGACAAACAATGGTACATTCATTCATAATTTAGTTTTTATGAAACACCGCAAGTCATACTTTGTCAATTATAACTGTGGTAACTTCAAGTAGCCAACTTAAACTTTATTTGCCACAACGAAGACATAGGCTATGAGCATATGTAATACGTTGTTTCAAATTGTTGGCAAATGTTTCAACTATGTAACAAGATATTTTTCAATATTGGAAGTTAGAATAGAAAATATCTTATTACTTCTAAATTACAATTTTTTTTATGTGATCTTGATAACATTATAAGTGGACCTCAGAGAACATTATAAAAAATGCCGTTCATGACCTCTTTAAGGATGAGTTTGGTTTAATTTATATAAATAAAAATCTTGGTACCTGGGACCTTTTTGTAAAGTGTTACAGAGAAGTCTAACCTAGGGAGATTGCGACAGGGGAACGTATGGATGAATTTATCAATGATATTCTGCTTGTCCCATCCAAACTGACTCGCTCAATTCTGGGAGACGCCCCACTCTCTGCCCAGAACAGATACCTAGTGGAAGAAAAACAGGTTTAGGACACAAACTAATTCAAACAAATTAAGGAACACAAACAAAGATGTGTAGAACATTTACATTTCTTTGAGTCCATATAATGGAAGTGGATGGGCCACTCAAAGCTGACGCTTCAAGAACCACGCAAAATAAACAACGATAATCCATAACACTTTAGTTGAGAAATCAGAAGCCGCGTTTTCATTACAGATTTGCGCAAAACTTTTGCGATATTTTCTATATGTCGATAAAAAAACATTGCGAAATGACACAGTTTTCATTAACCGATGTTATGCGACTAAAACATCTTTTTTTTTTTTTTTCGCGATAAGTCATTCTAAAAATCATGGCGACGGCAACATCGATAACGGATGTTGTTCTTTATTAAGGAGGAACAATTAAGACTAAGATCAACAAGATCTGTGCAGACACTAAACTCAACTGGGTGGAAGCATTGCCCCTCGCACTGATGAGCTACCGTATGCAGACCAGCAGAATCACTAACTTGACTCCACATGAGATGTTGACAGGAAGACCCATGCCTGTGGCTCACTTGAGAGCCCCATATGAAGGGCCACCTTTAGAACAGCTCCAAATGGAGTTAAGGACATACACTCACCGGCCACTTTATTAGGTACACCTGTCCAACTGCTCGTTAACACTTAATTTCTAAGCAGCCAATCACATGGCGGCAACTCAGTGCATTTAGGCATGTAGACATGGTCAAGACAATCTCCTGCAGTTCAAACCGAGCATCAGTATGGGGAAGAACGTTGATTTGAGTGACTTTGAACGTGGCATGATTGTTGGTGCCAGAAGGGCTGGTCTGAGTATTTCAGAAACTGCTAATCTACTGGGATTTTCACGCACAACCATCTCTAGGGTTTACAGAGAATGGTCCGAAAAAGAAAAAACATCCAGTGAGCGGCAGTTCTGTGGGCGGAAATGCCTTGTTGATGCCAGAGGTCAGAGGAGAATGGCCAGACTGGTTCGAGCTGATAGAAGGGCAACAGTGACTGAAATAACCACTCGTTACAACCGAGGTATGCAGCAAAGCATTTGTGAAGCCACAACACGCACAACCTTGAGGCGGATGGGCTACAACAGCAGAAGACTCCACCGGGTACCACTCATCTCCACTACAAATAGGAAAAAGAGGCTACAATTTGCAAGAGCTCACCAAAATTGAACAGTTGAAGACTGGAAAAATGTTGCCTGGTCTGATGAGTCTCGATTTCTGTTGAGACATTCAGATGTTAGAGTCAGAATTTGGCGTAAACAGAATGAGAACATGGAACCATCATGCCTTGTTACCACTGTGCAGGCTGGTGGTGGTGGTGTAATGGTGTGGGGGATGTTTTCCTGGCACACTTTAGGCCCCTTAGTGCCAATTGGGCATCGTTTAAATGCCACGGCCTACCTGAGCATTGTTTCTGACCATGTCCATCCCTTTATGGCCACCATGTGCCCATCCTCTGATGGCTACTTCCACCATGTCACAAAGCTCTAATCATTTCAAATTGTTTTCTTGAACATGACAATGAGTTCACTGTACTAAAATGGCCTCCACAGTCACCAGATCTCAACCCAATAGAGCATCTTTGGGATGTGGTGGAACGGGAGATTCGCATCATGGATGTGCAGCCGACAAATCTGCGGCAACTGTGTGATGCCATCATGTCAATATGGACCAAACTCCCTGAGGAATGCTTCCAGCACCTTGTTGAATCTATGCCACGAAGAATTGAGGCAGTTCTGAAGGCAAAAGGGGGTCCAACCCGTTACTAGCATGGGGTACCTAATAAAGTGGCCGGTGAGTGTATATGAGACAAATGACTACTACACATGAAGCTATTCATTCACAGGAACAAATCAGAGGGCCTAGAAAAGAAGAGAAAGCGCCCTGCCCAATAATCCCCGCCGGAGACCAAGTATATTTAAGAGTCTAGGAGACAAGAAGAGGAAGTAGATAGTTCAGAAGGGAGCCACGAGGGAATAGAACAAAATGCCCAGACAGAACAGAGAGCTGAAGGTGAATATAATAATGTTACTGAACCTCATTCTAGGGACGCTGAACACGCTCAGCGGTCTGAAGGTGAGAAAGCTCCTGATACTGATCTTAGCATTGACAAATCTGCTGTAGCAGTTGCCTCAGGCACAAGGCCTTCAGAAGAACAGTCTCCTGAAGCGGGACCCTCCACCACTGAACCAAACCAACAGGAAGAGTTTGTCACACTCAACCTCCAGGGGCCTCATTTATAAAACTTTGCGTAGGATTTGCGTCAGAAGTGGCGTACGGATGAAACATAGGACGTGCGTACGCACAGAAATATTCGGATTTATAAAATCGTGCGCACGCACATCCTACGCATTTTTCCCTTAATAAATCACAATCAATTATAAATTTAGCGCAGCTTTTGCTGCTTCATGTCACGCCCATAGTTGCCCATAAATAGTCCGTGAAACGCCCATAAGTTAATATTCATCGATTGCGAAATCATGGCAAACATAGAGAGGATAGAGGAAATAAAAAAAACGTAACTTCACTCAATGTGAAGTAGAAGTTCTCTTTGCCGAGGTGGAAAAGAGGAGAAAAATGTTGTTTGGAGGGCACAGTGTGGGCATTAGCCTACTAATGCCAAAAAGGCACTTGAGTGGCAAAAGGTTGCAGACGCCGTATGCTGTAGCCTCACAACCTCGGACTGTGGCCGAAATAAAAAAGAAATGACAAGCTACAGATGTCGGTTATAATCTACTTGGAAATGGGAAATAGTTCAGCGCAAATGTAATTTCTTGCAGCTTTCTGAATGGTTGAGACATATGTCATACGTTATTTTATCAAAAATAAAACAAACTAAAGGCATATGCATGAAATACCTGCATGAATACCATGATTCCGTAGCTGATAAAGACATTTTTACTATGAAAACGACTTTCCCCAGTGGACAAATAATACATCTATCTATCTATCTATCTATCTATCTATCTATCTATCTATCTATCTATCTATCTATCTATCTATCTATCTATCTATCTATCTATCTATCTATCTATCTATCTATCTATCTATCTATCTATCTATCTATCTATCTATATCTAGCTATATCTGCTCCGCCTGACGGACACATTGGCGAGAATATCAGTTTTGTACATTATTTCGTTCTGTTTACCATCTTATTTATGAGGATGAATTGTATAACATGCCAATATTATTGCAGAACATATTTCACTTTTCTTTTTGCAAATATGTGTTAATTTGCATTTCTGTTGCAGATCGATCAAACGGGTGTTCATGTAGGCTGTTAATTGTAAGACTTGCTTTGTCACGTCTTCGTGTTATTTATGAGAGGCAGTATTGCCATTTATTTTACACAACGGTCTACAGTTTCACACACTTTCACGTGTTTCTTCCATCTGCCGACGGTGTCGCCATTTCTCATTTCACCCGTTTTTGTGCGTACGCCTGGGTCAGAGCTTGCGTGAAGGACTGCACATTTTACCGTCAAGTTTGCTTTTTATAAATACCAATTATTGCGTAGAGAGCGGCGTACGCCGCCTTTTGTGCATGCGCAACGTTTATAAATGAGGCCCCAGGACATTGATCTCCTACATCTACATCGGCATTCCAGACGTTGAATAAAATGAATCACCCTAACATGACTAGACCAAAACGAGAACCACTTGAAATATCAAAAATCAAGCAATAGCCGATTATTTCTGGTTATGTGGAGGCAAGCGACTGAGGGTTACCATGATGGATTGGAAGGGACTCTATTTTCTAGTAAGACTGTCCCAGAAAGTAGGAATCGTAGAATGGGATCCTAAATAATGCCACAGAAACATTGGAGAAACTTAATAGACAGAAACGCAGAGTCAAAAGAGCTTATGCACCAGACCCTAAAGTAAAATTAGACTCAGTTGGACAACCAAGTGGGATACCCCATGAATTTAAAGCCAGAAATGAAATTGCATCAGGTTTTGAATCAATTCGCGCAATTTGAAGGGTAATGGAAACACGGCTAATGTCTTCTGAAGTGAAATGGTAGGTGTGTGTGTGAGAAAAATACTAATATTTTAAACTTTTTAAACTATAATCCATTGCTTTCAGGCAAATGTCAAATGTGGGTTCATGAGTTCATACCGGATATGTCAGCGCATTGTGAAACTGGCACTAGAAGTGATGGCCTATTTTTGTAATGTCATGAATACTCTATGCAGTCGGAAATAGCTCTCTGATTTTACATAGGATGTGGTGTCAGATAAAGCTGCCCAATCTCTGTTTACATTTTTCTTATTGTTGCTACAGGCAATCTGTCAATTCATCATGCAAAATAGGAGGACATTGAAGAGAGAGGAGTTTTGATAAATGAGTTGGCATAATGTACAGATAAATGTACAGTTCGTTCTTTTTCTTTTTTTTTAATCATGCTTATCAAGTTCATTCAGCAATTAAGTTAATTGAAATTGATCTTAACCTGCAAAAGTTTAAACCGCTTTGGATAACACTGCCATGTTAAAGATTAGTGAGAAGGAAGCTCCTACTTATTTAGGTATGGCTATTTTCTTGTTCCTCCTCCAGCACAATCAATATGAAAAGAGGTTATTGTTGGAGGTTTCTAAATTTAAACGGCAAGTTAATAAAATCGTTTGCAAAATGAGACAAGGTGTCTTCAGAGAAGAACAAGCAACAGAACAGGACAACACAGCAACATAGACCCTCAACAGCCAAGATTTCTACATTTATAAATGAAAAAACTGTTGTGTAGGTTTCCTTTACTGTATGAACACATCATATTTGGTTTATTATATTATGATAAAAGTATGGAGAATGAGGGATATACATTATTAATCTTGTGATTAATAAACCCTATCCCAACCCATAACTAAGTTCTACCTGAAATCAGTGGGAAACGATAGGTGAACAAGAATGGTGTCGTTGTCACATTCATTTGTTGTCTGGTCTTGTGCATGTTAACCTCAATGACGATTGTTAGATTTGTGATTCTCAGAGTGCTGTTGCTTGCTATGTTCTTTGTTTTGGTCAGTATTTTATTTCCCTGTGTTCTCTAGTTCTTATTGACCTTTTGTTTAATTAAACACTCCTCTTCCTGGTTATTATGTTACATTGTTTGTGTAAGAGCTAAGATAACCAGGAAGAAAGAACAAGATGTACTACATCTGGAGTGACGTGAAGGTGAGTAAATCATAAGAGAATTTTCACTTTTGGGTGGAGTATACCTTTAAAGACCCCATGAAATCAATATTGACCATATCTTTCATGGATAAATGTTAGTGTGCACAATTCGTCACAATAACATTATTCTAAAGGAAAAAAGTATTTATTAGTACTTATTATACATCAAAATATTAGCACTTGTATTTATAATATAAAATATATTACCGGTACATCGTATGTCATAATTATATTAATTGTGCAAGTATAATATTTTTGAGGAGTAGCTAATATTAATATCAAATAACATTTAAGGAAGAATAGCAAAATAATATTGACCAATCATTTCCATCCACCATATTACTCAAATTCCTATGAATTGAATAAAGTCTTGTCCTACATTCTTTTCCAGCAGATTTTTTCTTTCTTTCTGGTTCACATTTATGCAACTTTTGCCCGGTTTCACAGACAAGGCTTAAGCTTAGTCCCAGACTAAAATGAATGTTTGAGCTATTTTAACCTAAACAACTTGCACTGACAGAATATGTCAGATGCACACCAGAGATATATATTTTTTTCTAAGGCACGTTTATAAAAGCTACTTAAATGTCCTAACTGAACTAAGACCTGCTCTTGGCTTAATTTAAGCCCTGTCTGTGAAACCAGGGCTATGTGATTTATATAGAGAAGACAGTATTTTACCCTAGCAGTGGCTGGACAGCAACTGCAGTAGGTCTGGAGAGTCCAGACACGAGCTGTCTTTGTTTGGAGTCATTCAGAGAGGCCACGTGTAAAGCATGAGTACTGGTGCTGACCCAGTACAGAAGCTCATGGATCCAGTCTACAGCCAATCCCTGAACACCTATGGAGGCCTTTAACAACACAGCTGGTCTATGGTCACTGGCATCTAAAGACATTCTGAAATAGACATAAACTGGCTTAAATTGTGTGTTTTGAGATAAAATGTATGAATAGCATATTCATTTTCTAGTTAATCAATATGGCGCTGCACCTGTAGATGACGTCATTCTCTGGACTTGTCCAGTATAGCGTGTTATTTGCATTAAGTGCTGTAACAGGTCCTTGCGAGACTCTTTTATACGTGATGTTTCTTTGCTCAGAGCCGCTGAGGTCCATCCACTTAACACCCTCATGAGTGCTGACCACCACATGACCAACAGCACCTGTACAAGACCAATCCCTCACCCGAATCAATGTTGCTACTGTTAACTAAAACTATTAAAAAATCATTAACTGATATAAAATAACTATTTACTGCTACAGTAAAAAAAAAAAAAAAAAGATGCATAATTACAAGCATCTGACCCTAATCCAAACCCTATAGTAAGTGCATGTTGTTAATTAATGTTACTCAGTACTTAATTGTATAATTACACTATAACAAGGAGACTATAAAGTAAAAAAATATAAAATGATCATAAATAATATCAAATTATCACTGATACACATGCAAAATATTAGAGATCTGCAATTTTGACTGTCTTTACAGGACAATTACATTTAAATAATCCTCTCACCTGTAGCTTTGCACTGTCCAGTCCCAGCGGTCAGTTCATACCCATTCTGACATTCACACGCAGGAGATCCATCGAAACTGCCGCAAATTTGATCACACACATCTGAATCAAGACAGTGGTCCACATCTACAAGTGAAAAGTTAGTATTTGAGAGAAAAGTTAAACCTATTAATGCTAAAAAAGTTAAACCTATTAATACTAAAAAACTCAACCATGATTATTGGCATAACCAAAGAGAGAAGGATTACTGCTTGGCTAATTTTGTGTAATTAGTACATTTTCCTGTATTAAAACTGCAAAAAAAATCATTTCATTTGACATGGAGTGGGTCGCCTCTCGGGGAGGAAATGTTTAGATCATATAAACTGTTGAATACTTATTGTTTTAACCACCCTGTTCTGGATGTTATTGTTAATGGGGAAAAGAAGAAGCTAATCACCGACAGTAAATTAAGCATTTCTACAATGGCGTTTCTGGAGCAACACTGCATGCACTGGATCACATGATATCATTTCTCCAGTTAACCTGTGTAAATCATTTCTCACCCTCACAGTGTGTGTCCGTGACCAGCCTCATTCCACTGGGGCAGTCACACATAAAGCCAAATGGCAGATCAATACACATGTGAGAACAGCCGCCGTTATCGATCTCACATTCGTTTTGATCTACACAAAGACAGAAATAGAGAGTGAAAGAAAGACAAACAGTGAATTATGAAACATTCATTAATGTTGTACTTTTCGTACTAGTCTACATTACATATAGTCTATTTTTAAAGAAATTAATACTTTTATTCAGCAAAGAGCAATGTTATTTTAGTTTTTATTTAGTTTTATTAATAGAATTTTGAATTGGTTAATTTAGTAATTTATTTTATGTTCTTTGGATGTATAAGAATACATTTTTCCTTTAGAATAATGTCATAGTGATGAATTGTGCACAATAACATTTAAAGTAATAAGCAATACTGTTATTTAAGTTTAATTTATTTAGTTTTTTTTAGTTAGTTATTCATTTATTTAGTTAATAGTTTTATCTTAGTGCTTCAACTTAAACTTATTTCAATTTATTGCCAAGGCAACATTTCTAATTTTCATTTAGTTTAAGTTTTTCAACTAATAAAATAATATTTTATTTCAGCTTTATTTTAGTAAACAGAAATGTTACTAAAGTACTGTAAATATTGATAGTAAAAACATGTATAACCGGATCCTATTTCAAATAAATGCTGTTGATTTCTCAAAGAATCCTGAAGAATATGCATCACAGTTTCACAAAATATTACGCAGTTTTCAACATTGATAAGAAAGGTTTCTTGTGAAGCAAATCAGCACTGAAAACTGGAGTAATGATGCTGAAAAGACAGCTTTGCGTCACAGGAATAAATTACATTTTTAAAATATATTAACATAGAAAACAGTTATTTTAAATTGTAATAAATTATAATATTTCACAATATTACTGTTTTTATCAAATAAATGCAGCTTTTGTGAACATAAAATACTTCTTTCAAAAACTCAATATAAAATATTACATTTTTATAACATTTTAACCAGTAGTGGAATACTATTTTTCATTAATATATATAACACAAATAACAATAAGCTTTATATATACGGCAGAAATAAACAGCAACTCACCACAGTTCTCTTCATCGCTGCGATCTTCACAGTCAGGGGAGTGGTCACACCTCCATGAATTGGGCACACAGTGTCCATTAGCACATCTGAACTCTGACCTGGTGCATGTCTGTGGTTTAGACAGCGATGCGCATGCGTCTAACTGTTCATCTGCTCCATCTGAGCAGTCCAGCTTTCCATCACAAATGCTGCGGGCAGAAATGCAGTGCGCTGCCGCCACACAGTGGAAGGAGCCACTAGTGCAATTCAAACAGGAGATCTCATCGCTTCCGTCGCCACAGTGGTCCACACCATCACAGCGCTGATTCACAGGCACACATCTGCCGTTATTACACACAAACTTTGGAAAACCTGCGAAAATAAAAACTGTTCTTTAGTTCTGGAAGATGAAAGAGGACAGTTTAAAATTTGAATAGCTAAAGACTATCAAAGAAAAAGATCAAGTTCTCTATTATGTGACTGGACTACATTTAGTAAAATTGTGCAAGTAGGTGAATTAGGGTAATCTGGGACATTTGTTTCTTGCACTTTTGGCAATTTACTGTATTGTCAGTTACCAAACTGCAACATTTAACATGGCAATAATATAAAAAATAAATTATTCATAATTTTTGGAAATATTTCCAATTTTTCCAAAAGATTTGGAAATAAGCGCAAGTTTAGATGTATTTTATGCTATTTTTATCCTGTCCTAATTGATAATAAAAAAAAGTTTGAAAATTTGTAATTTAATTTTACATTTTAATCCCTATTTTATTGCATGTATATAACACAAACATCTTCAGAGAAAAATCTAAAAGTTTTCTTTATGACTTGTGATTTATGTTCTTGTTACAATAAACTTACACAAAACTTATGCCCAGTTGCAACAAACTGCTTATGCTAGGAAAGCCATTAAAGTTATAAACTAAGGGCGTTTTAACCTAAAAGGTTTGTTGCAACCAGTTGTGACCCTTGGATTATTTATTTTATGAGAGTTTCCTATACCTTATGATAATACACAATACAATAGAAATTTAAATTCAGTTCCGTTTTCTCCCATAAAAGCTTTTTAATTTATGAATATCTTGACTTTTTTTTTATTGATTGAATGAATGTTTGAACTAATTATAATAATAAATTACTTTTTGCACACTTGTTAATTAGTTTGCACCTTTCAGTAATTTCCAACCTGGTAAAACAAAATAAGTAATGAATAACTGTAAATAACAAATGAACAGATTTTTTATTTGAATTTGAAACAGCCAGTATCCAATAGATACTGATAATATTGTTATCAAAGTGGATAAATGTTGTGTTGCAAAAATGAGTATACCCTCCTCATGAAAGTTACAAAATAAAACTAAATAAATATTTTCTGGTGCAAGTTGGGGTAGTTGTGCTTAATCAATGCAGTCATGAATTCACACACCATATGTGATGTAACACAAAATCTTGAAACAGAAGATGCTACCTTCTCCTTATTCCCTGCGTCGTTGGTCACTTTTTCAACATGACAATGACTGAAAATTGTTCAGTGTACAATTATTTCACCTGACCTTAACTCTATTGGGCACTTGTAGAGGATTTTGAAGAGACAATTATAGCAACACTCCCCATCAAACACTGAAGGTGGTCATCATCCAGGAGTTAAACAGTAAAACACTTAATAGATGTAAACATTTGTCCTGAACTTGGTCAGAGCAGTATACTTCGGAGGACAAATGACATACTAGAATACCGGTATTACATATTTGTTGAATTTAATCAAGGGTGTACTTATTTTTGCAACTCTTTGTCAAAGCAAAATTCACTTATTTACTTATTTTACAGATATTGATGAGATATTTTTCTCTGTTTTAATTAAGTGTATTTTTAATAAATTTTAATTTAGTCATCTTTCCATGAATTGTAATCTAGAAATATAAAAATATCATTATATTCAGAGGAGGTGTGACATATGTATGTGTGTGTGTGTGTGTGTGTGTGTGTGTAACATATTATGTTAATGTGAAAAACAATCCAGAGTCAAACTTTTAGATTATGTAATAAATAAATAAACTATATATTTTTTATATATATATTTGTTATTAAGTATGCATTTTATATAGACAATCAGCCCTTTGTCCAAGTCCTATGGTGAGATAAAAAGAACCAAATTGAACTAGTTTTATATTTCCAATAAAATACCCAACATTTCACAAACATTCCAGCGCCGCCACTGTAAGTAACGTTACAGTGGGCTATTATCTCACGCATGCACGTGGAACCAACTTTGACAGAATACCAAGGACATGCTGTACGATGCTTTACAACATTCAAAATTAAATACAGTGATATTATATTTACTTTAGTATATTTAAAAGTGCACGTGCTTGACAGTAATTTTAGTAAGTGAGTATATCTTTATATTTCGCGAGGAAACTCGGAACATCAGTTTGACAGAGCATGAGGCGTTCGATCCAATCAGATGGCGTGACAGCGCCGCGTGCAGCGTGAGGTCCAATAGGAAAGTGTGAACACTAGCGATGCATTCAGACATATTAAGCACATGCATTATAATCCTCTGTCCACACATATTTACAAACCATCCCTTACCTTCCGTTAAAGGAAAACGTGACACACAAGTCAACAGCAGTAAAAATGCACCAAGGTGTTCCATGCCTTGCTCAGCGTCCTCTAAATTACTTGTCGCGAGGCAATTGCGTCATTTCCGTACTACAGATTATGTAGTCACCCCAAAAGATAAGTGACTCCAAAAAGTTTTAGGAGACTAATGAATGCCATTGGCATTGCATTAGATAACAGAATATCAAACCAAATATATATTTTAAAAACACATAGAAAAGCTAACATTTAAGTGCAAAATTACAAAATAAGACATTATAAATTTTAAATTATAAAACAATAGATACACTGACTATGAAGATCTGTGAAAACGTGATGAACTACAGCTTTGGTTACTCTGATAGGAAACCTTAATTCTCATTATTCTCTGATGTACAAATCTTTCCATTCATGTCTAGTAATGCATCCTTCATTATTTATAGGCTACACATTCGTATAGGCTATGTATGCAGATGCACCTTTTCAATTCCCACATTTGTGCAATCCATGCACTACAAAATATTTTTCAGTAAAGCATAGTTCACATTTTATTTATTTCTGTCCTCTCTCTCGTATAGCCTAGTATTTTTTTGTGTTTTTGTATTTATTGCAATTTCAATTCTGTTTCTATTCCTATTTATGTTTATTGCAGTGACTCAGTTTTCCCCAGAGATTAAAATAGCATTCGGAGAACTGAGTTTATATATAGCCTACATCCATTAAATCGACGTTATCAGGTGGTTAAAAGTAATTTAAAAGCAAAAAATCCGCGATGATACATATATATGCATATAATAAACAACAATTGCAAATATAGGCTACATTACTAGTTTTGAATCACAAGCTAGATTTATTTTATTTTTATTTATCTCTTTATTTATTGAGTAGCGAGCATTGAAGCATGCTTTATTTTATAAAGTGATGAGCGACAAAATTATTTCCCCAGTCTAAATGACGCTATAGGCTGATATAATGATGATAGAGGCTATACTGATGCTTGCAAAGGGAAAATGCTATCAGACTTATCTTGTGCAATATGAAATTACGTATGTGCGTCGTTGACCTATATATTACATGACTACCGACATTCCTACAGTCTTAACACCGTTGAGTAACATAGACCCAGACATTAACCTATATTCTAGACCCCCAGTCAACACAAAAAAACGCAGTTTACATTTGACAGGAAATTATTCATATCCTTTCTCGTACCAATTACATATCAGTGCAACAACAGAATCACAATTCCCTGATGTTATCACAAGGGAAAATCATGTAAGTTTCTTTTTCTTCACTAAGACACGCAGCATAAAAGTAAATAACACATGACAAGCTGATGATAACTGATGACACACTGACATTTTCTAATTAAAATCCACGCATTCTTTCATATGAGCCCTTTCTCGCTTTAGACCCAATCGTATCGCACGTTACAAAACTCAGAGATTCGTGTTTTGTAATGCGCCTCGGCGGCCAATAGGCGAGCTCGCTAATGCTCACGTGATGATATTTTTACGTAACAATCGGACAAAACGACTGTATGTTAAGGAGCGCGAGTCACAACGGTCTCTTGTACTGTGAACTGTAAGAATGCTTTGACATATTTTTTACTTATTATATTTGTCAAATTAGTAGTGGCGTATCTGTGAATGTCATTCGTAAGCATGTCGTTGCGAAGACTAGACCAAGAATATGCTTTGGAGGAAAGGGGAAGGTTTTTTATATCATCTGAAACGGAAGGCGACTGGGACGAGGATAGCCATGTTGATCATCGTCAACTTGTTTTATTCAAAGCCGATGCTTTAGCTTCGGAAAATCGTCTTAAAGAGGCCGTAGATATGTTTTCCATGGCTCTCCGATATGGCCCTGTCCGGCCAGACCAGCTGAGCAGTTTAGTTGGATGCGTTCTGCGCAACTTCAAGAAGAAATCAGAAGAGTCGACTGCAAAAAGTGAGCCGAGGTGGACATCGGATTGTGAATTTGACTGTCCTGGTTGTCATAGTTTCGTAGCCGATCCCGTGACGGTGCCATGTGGACATACGTATTGCAGGAGATGTTTACAACATAGCACTTTTTCTAAATGTAAACTGTGCAGTGAAGACATTGGGAGGAGGCCCGGGGAACCCCGATTGAATGTGATCTTATGTGGACTTTTAGAGAAGTGGTTCCCAGAAGACGTCAAAAGAACTAAATGTATAGGGGAAGCTGAAAACCTATTGAAGAGTAAACAGTACGACGATGCTATTGCACTAACGAGTCAATTATTAGAAACTGGTAAGTTCAAATCCTTCCTTGTTTCTAAAAATATTTACTAATGCCAGGGGCAAGGTTACTAGATTACAACATCGTCGTCTTATATTATTCTTATATTACAACATCAACATCTTATATTATTTATTAAAAGGGTGCGAGGTAAAAAGAGTTCAGCTGACCAACATTTGGATTGACAGCCTTAACTTATGTATTAGCCCCGCCCTCCACGATCATGTAACTGGCGAGTGGCTGTATTACAAAACGTGTTGGCAAGACGCATGCGCACTCGGCACGCGTTGTGTAAGGCAGGTCGTGACACAGTGTTTTGTAATCTGAAGCAAACAGAGTTTTATAATAACAACTAGATCAGTATGTAATATACACAATGTGCACAATGCAGGTGTTTATTTAAGAGGGAGATGCCTATGGGTTGTCTAATGTCTTGTAGCTTATGGTAAGAAACTGCTGGAATTGAAACGACTGCATAACCTCACTATATATATATATATATATATATATATATATATATATATATATATATATTATAATAGGGATAAATAGTAATTTATATCTAATTTATTGTATCCTAATTTTTCAATAAGACCCAATGGAAACTTGCATACAATAAACTTAAGTATACAGTATATTGCATTTTAAGTCTCAGTTTCCCACCCAGACTTCTTATTCCATCTGACCACTACAGGTCAATCTGTGGTCATTTTATAACTTTGGGTTTATTGCAGTGTGTTTACTATATTTGCAGCAGTGTGTGTCACTCATGGGGTCACTAAAACTGGTGACCCCTGATAAATAAAACAGTCTTTGATTCCCTTATTGAATAAATGTATATTTTGAGAAACACTTTTATTCTCTTTTTACCCAAATCAGTGGATCTTAAGCATGATACATTTATTATGTGTTTTTTATTTGCATTGTTGAATCCTGAAAATCTACCACTATATCATTTTTGTTTAGTGACAGACAGGAAATATCTGATAATGTTGGTTATATAATGGGTACACAACCTTCCAGTCGTTCTGCACAGAAATTACGACACTTCTTCTTTGATAATCCTTTGCCACATCGTGTTAGGGATACGCATCTTGATAAAAGTGTTGGTTCCAGATCTGTAATGTCAGTACGTCACTGTACATGTTACAGAGACAGCGTAATCAGAGTGCGGCAGTCGCATCTCTTCTGTCACGTCCTCATTTGCCCTTGTGAAAAAATGGCAGTGCTGCAGTGTCACATCCTCTCTCCTGTTCTTCTTGTGGCATTTCAATGCACTCCTTTTTATCTATGGAATCAGTAGTATTATGATTATTGTCATAATGCCTGTTTGACTGACTTAAAGCTTGGCTTTTGAGATTTGCCATGGTCTCTGATTCTTTCTCTTTCTCTCAGACTCTAGTAATGTGTGGGTGCAGGTGTGCCATGCCGAGGCTCAAAGAGGAATGAAGCAGTACCGTAAGGCTTTGGAAAACTGGGAGTCCTGCCTGATTGCTGCCCCATCCCCAGAGGTACGTCTGTGGATTTTCCTAATGCGTACTTTCTGCAACTGCTACAGATGGCTAATTCATTTCAAAGTACATCAGGATGCTTTTACAAATGTTATAGTAGCTGGATTGTTGCTTTAAAATCAGGTGGCAAACTCAAGTTTACAATTTACCAAGTATCCATATACAGCCATAATTCAAAGGATCAATGCGTTCAAAGCTTTATTTTATTTTGAGGCTTTTGTTTTAGAAAAAAATGGCAGTTGCAATAATGGCTTGAAGCTAAAATGCTATAATGTAACTCTATAACACATTAATTCATATATACACTTTTGCTAGAAAACAGTGACATTAAATGCAAAACTGACTTGTTTACCATACACATTTCACATTTCAACAAAGACTCATCTAGCTATATTACCCAGATAGAGAATGTTCCCATGTTGACATATTTAATTTGCAGATTTCACAACAACAATTCTAATTGTCACAGAAAAGGACCATCCTTCCTTATTATTTAGCCCTGCTGTTGCTGCTTTATTCTTGACCATAAAGGAGTTTGAATGTTTTTCTTTTTCAGTTCTGATCATTGCTATTCATTTGAATTTCAGCACTGCCGCATATGACCTACATTTGTTAAATTAGCTCAATTTCTACTACAATTATTGTGGTGGTGTTGTTATTGGAAACCCCTGTGAGGGGATGTAGTTGTGTTAAGCACAGGATTAAGGTATACAGGATGTTTGCCAGGCTGACAAGTGAGATAAGGAGATACAGACAGGTAGGGATAAGGCAGAGATGTGGGTCACTTGAATGTGTATTTATATTGTAGTGAGTCACAGAGTGTCTAGCTGTGTTATTAGCATTCATTCATAACATGACTAGACTCTCAGCCCCATTCTAGTCAGATTAACCCAAACAGCATCTGTACTCCTGGAAGCTAAACTCACTCTGATCTGTCCCTCTCTTGCAGGGATATTTCCGGAAAGCAAAACTTCTCCAAGAGATGGGTCATGTGGATGAATCCCTGCAAGTCTTCCTTCAGTGTTTGGCATTGGATGAAAACTTCCATCAGGCCAAACAAGAGGTGGAAATGGTGAGATGAATATGAGTTATAATAAAAATTGGGCTTCAGTATGTTACCAACCTGTATTTCAATATCGATACTAAATTAATATTTTTAAACCCCAGTTATATTATAAATAATAATTATATAATTATATTAGTATATAATAATAATATAACTATACTAATTATATAATTATACAAATAATTATGTTGTATTATGTTGCATATATAATATACCATTATATTTTATTATATTTATATCATATTATTAAATGTTTGCTGGTCTGATGGAAATTACAGAATGGCTAACATTGCTTACAGCATCATTAAGCAGTCTGTGTAACATGTTTTGCTACTTTGCTGTAGTTAAGGCCATCTAATATGGGAGCATGTTGGTTTATCAGCTTAACTCTGCATTTTATAAAAAGCCATTTGTTGGCACATTAGATATGGTCTCTCATGATAGCATTGATTCAGATTGATTCACTGGAAATGTTTTATGTTCAAGATACAGTTCTAGTTATTTGTGTCCTGAAAGCTCAACTTATTGTAATGTGCTGTGGCCAAACTGATGTTTCATATCAGTGCTGGACCATAATTAAATTATGTAAGATAATTATTACCGGTGAAGCTATGTGACTTTCTGCTTAAGCAAACAGAAAGACGAGGAAAGTGCGCTGTGAGTGTTGCATAATCTGTGTATCTTTCAGAGTGTGTGTGTGTGTGTGAATAAGGGCTTAAAACACATTCTCTTATGTAATTAAGTGCTTATCCTTTGGCCTACATTAGGACTGAGAACAATTGTAAAGAGAAAATCATGATCTCTAAATGACATTTACTAAGATTAGTGTCTTAAATAACAGTTCTGAATCTGAGGCATAAACACTAGCTAGCAGCATCTTATTCTTGTGATACATTTTTTTAAAGAGAACACAGCGAGATTAGTTGTGTACAGCACGCACTACCGTTCAAAAGATTTGTGTTGGTAGGATTTCTAAACTGTTTTTGAAAGAAGTCTCTCATGTTATTCAAGGCGGTATTTGTTTATTCAAAAATACAGTAGAAACTGTATTATTGTGAAATATTATTACAATTTAAAATAACTATTTTGATATATTAAAACGTTTAATTTGATTTAAAATCCAGTTTAATTCTGAATTAAAGTATTTATTTCTGGACAAAATAATCTTACTGACTCCAAACTTTTGAATGTCATATACAGTGTATATATATATATATATATATATATATATATATATATATATATATATATATATATATATATATATATATATATATATAGCTGCATTGTTTTCTAAATTGAACTTTCTTCTTCATCTTCAGATCTTGCATGACCTGTTGGCTCCAGCCTGTGATAATGTCAAGGTTGGATTGAGAGAGACAACCCACAGCTCTTCATTTCACTTGCGCAGTAAAACTCTGGTGTCTGATGGCCAAAATCTAGACCAGCAGACCCAGTTGCAAGCCCAGCACCAGTCTGACACTCAGGCAGCATCTGCCCACCTTCCCTCTAAAACCTCAGAGGTATACTGGTCACCTTAGCACCTTTGCACCATGAACTTGATGACAGCGACATTAGCAGCTCTTAATATTTTATCACTTCATTTCCTTGTCTGCAGAAACCAGGTCGATCTGAAAGTCTGGAACGCTCCGGCCTGAGCAGAGCTCACTCCCTTCGTGCTCACGGGATAGGGGGAGGTGTAGAGGAGGGGCTTAAAAGAGTTAGCTCCGCCCCCCAGTTGGGTGACCCAGAAAAAGGCACGCTGCTGAAGAGGAAGCTGTCTGTGTCTGAAGCAGGGCCTAGCGTGGCTTACAGCCATGGCAGTAAATATAAAAAGCAAGTTGGTAAGTCGTGATGACAACACAAGGATATGTAAAACTGCATGTTGAAACATTTTTACACACTGTACATCTGATCATTTTTATGACAAATACTAAATACTACTAAATTGTAGCTGGGGGTTTTCCAATGACCCCAGTAAATCCATAACCAGGCTAATTATACAGGGCTTCCCTAGAATGATTAGTCAACTTAATTCAGGCAATCCACTGATTAGTCGATCTTTAAAAGATGTCGGTTTTCGAGTTTGCCTTATTTCCACTGGCACTGTGATCAGTATCCATTACTATCGTCGCTTGAAAATGTCTGTAATGTCGCTTGAGTTTGTCCTAAATAAAGCAGTGTCCTCATCTCTCTGCTCTTCTACCTTTCTCCTTCAGTGACTGCCAGTGCAGCTACTCCTGTGGTTACTGAGGAAACCAAGGCCTATCAAACCCTGCCAAAAGACCTGCTGGATCCAAATGATTTTGAGTGCTCTCTCTGTATGAGGTGAGGGAAGAGCGTGTTTTTAGAGTCAAATCGTCTAAAAGTCCTATGAAAAAAACTGAAAATAATAAGTTATTAGACTGTTTCTCCCATATATACATTATAATGAATAATATATATATATATATATATATTTTTTTTTTTATTATTATTATTATTCTTTAAAAAAACCATACAATTTCTTGCAGATTCCCAATATATTTTTAATGTATTTGATTTTTTTTTATTCTATGTTTTACACATTAATATTTCAATAAGCAACTGAAATAAGCAAATTGGTTTCTGAAAAAATATTGTTTATTTGATGAAAAAAAAAAAGTTTCTGGCAGAATTCCCAATCATTTAAAATTGTATTCTTTTTAAAAAATCGTAACATTTTATGTTAAAATTTTACTTAAAAGGAATGTGTTCAACAGCAAATTAGTTTCTGCCCTGTATAGCAATTGGTTGGAAAAATCACAAAATTTCACTGTTATTGGTATTGACTACTGCTAATTTGCTATGGTGATGACTGTGGTGCTGTCCACTGGTGATCGGACCTGAAATGAAGTGTAAACAGTGTCTTAGTATAGCTTCTCTTGAATTACTTGAAAGAGTACACGTAAAAAAGGCAAATTAATGTAGCCTGTACTGTTTCCCTGAGAAAACAAAAAAGCGTCAGATGTCAGACAGCAGGTTTATTATGTGCCAGTGAAAGTGTGCTTGCTTTCACCCTGTGTGATTTTTGCACGTCACTTAAATTGAAAGTGTCAGTCAGTGTTTAATATAGCTCAACAACATCTCTTATCTCTTTTCTAGATTATTTTATCAACCCGTCACAACACCCTGTGGTCACACGTTCTGCAAAAACTGTCTGGAGCGCTGCCTAGACCACAATTCCCAGTGCCCTCTCTGCAAAGAAAGCCTGAAAGAGGTTTGTATCAACATTATAGACTGTGCATTTGGACGGCAAGCTACATTCAAGTCATTAAAATAGCGTTCAGGGTTCAACAATAAGAATAAGATAAATTAAATACTATTTTATTAATTAATACAATTTAAATTTATAATAAAATTTATTTAAATGTATTTACGTTTTAGCAGCATAGTTTTACAAGTATGAAAAAAGTATTTACATTTTTCATACATATTGTCCAAATTTTACTGATTTATTGATAATGTTAATTCTTCATTTTGCTTCCAAGACTCACATTGACCTCAGGCTATTTGGTCATCCTTATTGTATGTGCACTGTGCATAGTATTTTTTTAAAAATAAACAACATCAAACATTTTTTTTTTACATATTATACACTGTTTCATATATTCAATTACATTTTAAACTATGTGGGTGTTAGTAATTGCTCCTATTTTTTCTGTATTTCTCTTATTCATCTCTCTCTTGCTGTTCTCTTCCTCTTTTTCGTTTTTCATACAGTATCTTGCCTTTAGAAAGTACACAATCACACAAGTGCTGGATGACATCATTAAGCAGTACCTATCCAAGGAACATTCAGAGAGACTGAAACTGCATGCGGAGGAAACTAAAGAGCTCTCAGAGTAAGTTTGCACAATTGCTTCATTTGTGGATAATTTAATCAGATTCATCGTTTTGAGTCTTTGTTGAAGCGTTACATAATGTGAAGATGCTTTTCCACGGATGCCAGACTTACCATTCATTTATTTTGCATAATCTTTTTTGTTTGAATCCATCAAGTTGTAATTACAAAGAGAAAAATAATTAAATGAGATTAAGTACCTTTCAATTGTAAAGTTTTTAATTCACCAAATTATATCACATTGTGATTTGTATTGTTACCTTGATATAAAATTACTCTGTTAAACTTAATTTTCAATAAACAAATGTTTCTCAAACACAAAGTCTTACACACACGGTCTTATATAATCTAATAGTGTCTAATCTTCAAATCACACTCAATCTCTTCTCTGTTATTTGTCTTCCCTAGTTTAACAAAGAATGTGCCCATCTTTGTTTGCACCATGGCCTACCCTACTGTGCCTTGCCCTCTTCATGTGTTTGAGCCACGATACCGTCTCATGATCCGACGCTGCATGGAAACTGGGACACGTCAGTTCGGCATGTGCATCAGTGACCCCCAGAAAGGGTAAGCGTGTGCTTATATGTGTTCTCATGGGGCTGTGAGCATTAAGTCTGTTGGATTACATTGCTGATTTTTATAATATGATATGTCAAGGTTTGTGGACTTCGGCTGCATGCTTCAAATCCGAAGCGTGCATTTCCTCCCAGACGGGCGCTCTGTCGTGGATACAATCGGAGGAAAGAGGTTTCGCGTCCTCTCACGCGCAATGAAAGACGGATACTGTATTGCCAACATCAAGTATCTGGAGGATATGAAGGTACGCACTTCTGTGGATTTTTAGATGACTGTAATGTACAGGAATGCAAGATATAAGACTTGTTTTATTTGGAAACTTTATTTCCTTATCAAAAGTTAAACTAAGCTTTAATTAAAGATATAGTATAAAAGAAATTTGGTGTGTTTTAGGTAAAAGATGAGGAAGAATTGGAAAAGCTACAAGTTTTACATGATCAGGTGTACGACCAGGCCCGTAAATGGTTCCAGAACCTGGAGAACCGCTTTCGGAACCAGATCCTGCAGCATTTTGGGCCAATGCCTGAGAGAGAGGCTGACATCCAGGTATTTCCCGCTTGCTTAATCCCTACTACTGAAAGAAGCCCCGCCCCCCTTCCTTTCTTTGCCCTACAGTAGGCTGGGCGGGAGGAAGTAGGTCAAAGTGTATTCAGGGTTTCGATTGCATAAGTGCATTTACATCATAAATGTGTCAGAAAGAACGGAAGTGAATTTGGCAGCTTTCGCAAACACAATCATTATATTTCAGAAGAGGAATGGCATGCTTTGAATAATAATGGCGGGAGGTTGCTGTTGTGTAAGCTTCATGAACGTAGCCGGTCCTTATATGGCCTTTTATCAGCATTTAGTTTAGTTGGTCTTTCTCTTTTACAAAAGAAAGCATTATATTTACGGGGCATATCATGAGTCAAATTTTCCTTGATCTTTTTAAAATTAAAAAAGCTATGTGCTATTTTCTATGTACTACCATTTTTTTTATCTAAAAATCATACTGACATATAAAGTGCACTTCAGGAAGCATTTTAAAATAATAATAAAAATTGCAGTTCATGACCCCTTTAGAACTAAAACAAGCTATTAAAAATTAGTTTTCATTAAATAAAATAAAATAAAATATAAATATTACATGAGAAACTTAACGCAATGGAAATTAGAAATACTAGTTTAGAAAATAAGTACTAAAATGACTAAAACGAAATAGAAATATATCTAAAAACGAATTAAAATGACACAAGTACATTAAAAAAACTAGAAAAAAAAAATTCAAAATATTAATAACTACATTAATAGTATACGCAATCTGATGTAAAAATAGAGGAAATGAGCATGTACAACTATATATTCAATAACGGGTGATACATTTCCATTATCAACAGATAAAGATAAATGTAAATCGGCAAAGAACCGACATGGTGGGGATGTTGTAGATCCTTAGGACATGACCCCCTTATTGTACTTAAATCAGCAGCCTGATCTTAAGACACTAAACACACTTTCTTTGTATTCCAGGCCACACCTAATGGTCCAGCGTGCTGTTGGTGGCTGCTAGCTGTTCTTCCTGTTGATCCACGCTACCAGCTGTCTGTCCTCTCCATGACAACACTAAAAGAACGACTAGTTAAGATCCGACACATCCTCACCTACCTGCAGAACCTTCCCAGGGACTAGAGCTTCCTCACAAACACACACAGAACTCCCTGTCACTCTGCTGGCCAACATGCAAACACTCAATGGTGCTGACTGACGAAGAACTAATGAGATTCCAAGGAGAGTCCACTGAAAACTCAGCACAGATTTACATCTGTGTGCTTAGATGTAATTCATGCAGAGAATTACAAGAACAAAGTGTTTGTTGTTTCATACCGATCTGTTAATCACCATCGGTTTTCTTTGTGTTCAAGATGAGTGTTAGACGACATCCCTTCCTGTAGTATTTATTGTTCAACAGCCTGTCTGATTTTGTTTAGGAGAAACAATCTACATAAAATTCTGTTTCTGTCAGGTGCCCGTAGCCTCCATACAGTGCTTTCGGGGCAGAAATGTTGCTGGAGAGCATTCCAACATTTTCAACATGATCATGCTTTGCGTGTGTGTGTGTTGAAGTGGACAGGGAGCATCTACAAAAAAGATGGGCACCAAGATAGAAGGCAATTTTGAATATCTTTTCTTCACTTAAAACTCTGGAGAAACAAAAGCAGAAATATCGCTTCTGAGCATCCATCCGAGCTTTCTTTCTTGACCTGTTAAGCACGCACAAGAGGTTGTTGTCGCCTAAGACAGAGACAACTCTCAAGATGCACTTGTATTTATTTGTTACTTTTGCAGTACTGGGTGTTAATGAAGCTTGCACAGTCCCTTCCTGTCTCAAACTTTTAGCTCAGAGATGGGCACGATACTGGTAAGCGTAGGTTTATTTCATACTGAGGAAATAGTTAGGACTTCCAAATGTCTCAATAGTTTAGTTTCAGACGTATCATTCATTTTTGCTGTGGGTTTGCTCTCAAAACAGCACGCCACCATATTGCAAGTGTCTCTTTTGGGTACAAGCTGCACTCTGTCCAATGCTTTAAAGGTCATTTTTGAGAATGAGGTTGAGATATTTATACACAAACAAATCGCAAAGGGAAACTTGCAATATTTTGACAGATAAAAACAAACTATCGTTAGCTGCAACCAGCACCATACTGAAAGGAGACCCAGCAAGCATTCTGCATATTGACAGTGGTGGATGCTAACTCACTAGCTCATACCTGTGTGGTGCTTGTTGTGTGCAGACTAAACTAACTTTTGCCTTATAATACCTTGTTGCATTCTGCTACTATGGTATAATGCGTCCGCTTGGGTTTTTGCACTCCTGTTGCCGGAGAACTAATTCTGTGGTTTAATTTACTTCATTCGCCTCTTGGTCCTTTAAGTGTGTAAAATATGTCAAATAATGGCTGTTATATGTAAATCATTTTGTTTTAAAAAAAATAATTTTTTTACAGCTATGCTCAAATATTTAAGTTGTCAATTTTCAAATAAAATGCACATCTTTTTCATTGTATCTTTGTTAGTTTATTTATTTACATCCATCCATCTATTTAACAAACCGCTTTTCATAGAGTCATGGGATGTTGGAGCCTATGCAAGTCCGCAAGGATTATCCATCCATTTTCCAAACAACATGTCCAGGGACGCAGGGAAACTAGAGCCTAATTTATTTTTATTAATATTATCATTATTATTCTTATCAGATAATAAGGATTATTATTATCGTTACCTATATCCTCCACTAGGTTGCAGCAACGTCACTGGTTGTGCAACAACAGCTGTTTCATAACTCACAGATTTATTGTCCCGTACGTACACTACTTATTATTTAGATAATCCACCATCCTCCATCGAACAAACAAGAACATTTTGACACAGTTTCGGACCTTTATTGAACACAAATACTCTGTACAGTTCTACATAAATCTCAGCAGTTCATGCACACCGTATTTAACAACTTAACTGACAGGTTTGATGATTTCATGATTGAGCTCTTATGGAAATCCATTCAGCTATCGGAGAGACAGCATCATGACAAACTCTGAAAGAAAACAGAGACAAAACTGTCAGTTAATATAAAATATTGGTTCTATTTAGTTTACTACGAGGCACACCACACGATAAGAAGCCTTTTCCCTGAAATGTCACTTGGGGGGTTCCGTAATCAACGGAATTCGTGTGAAAATGAAGCAAGCCTTTTTCAGAAGTTCATCCGATTCTTGAAAGCGGTAAACACACATGTGGCTTTTCCCCCACTCGAGGTCTAAGTTACCTTCCTGTGCTCCTTTATCATTATTCATAGTTAGTTTATTTATAGAGATTAAACATGGAGGTGGCGGGAATTGTCTCCTGAGGTAGGCTAATTGATTGACAAGTCAAGATGAACAAGTTATTTCGTTTATAACTCCATTTTATATCAAATCAAGTAAATATAAAGTTCAAGACTTCACCCTTACATATAATTTGATATAGAACAAGTATGCATATTTGGCGTGCTGTCCGAGGGGAAGGGCTCCAAGCTCGGAATTGGTTCCGACTCCGAAGGTCCGAAGTCCGAACCCAGAAATTAAGTGTGGAGGGATGCTGGTGGAAGACTGTCGTGGCGGGATAGAGGTAGGTTGGCTATACTTTCTCCCGAATTTTTTATTTATTTTATTTTTTATAAACATCATGTCGAGAATAGCTGCGTCTGTTGCTCCACAGTTGGGGCAAACAGGTAAAAATTATAGACCTTATTCAGAGCAGCGCGCCATGACAGGAAAGCGAGGCTGTGACGGATAGACTTGCCGTGTTTCAATGGCATCTGCTGTAAGATGTATGAAGCTCCTAGATCACATTATTTTCCTCCGCTCATGTTGTCTGGAGATTTTTGTGTACTGAATTTATTTTTTAAAAATATTTTTGCAGTGGCAGAACAATCCAAAAACACAGAAAAGCAGATCCACAGCAAGAGCCACAGAAAAGAGGGCTACTGCTGTTTCATAGTCTGGTCACTAGATGGCGCTATAGAGTTGTTTTTAGTGACTTACCGGTACGTTGGTTATTACTTTTATAGTGTTATAGTTGTTATAGTTATAGTTGTTATACTTGTTATAGTTGGTTGTTGTTTTGGATGTTTGTTACGTTACACGTTCCTTTCTTTTGCTTGTTCTCTACTCAGTGAATGTTTTGAGCTTTGATCTACTCTGCTCAATAGTCCAGAGAAAGTCTTCTCACTTCTCAATATACATTTACACTCATTAAATCACTTGAGACCTTTTAGATGACTCCACGCGGACAGTTACATGTAAACCCATGCATCATTTCCCAGAGTAGTACATATTCAAAAGTATTCTGCCTTCCTTACCATCAAAGTCCACGTTCCCATCTCCGTTGAGGTCTATGTCTGTCAGAATTTCTTCCAGTTCTCCTTTCTTCAGTTTCTCACCGAGCAACGTCTTTGTGGACTCTTTCAGCTCCTCAAAGGTGATCCGTCCATCACCGTCACAGTCAAACTAAGAGAGATATTCAGTTTCATGAAGATATAATATTATTTATGCAATGCAATATATCACGATTTGATGTTTGTGGGGTTTTGTTCTCTATTTAATGTACACTTCAAAGTGAGCTTCCTTTGAAGGCAACTTTAGAGTGTGTACTACTCACCTGTTTGAATGCACAGTGCATCTCCCTTAGACCGACCATATGAGCAGTCTCAGCCAACATCCTGGGCCCCATTAATTCACAGAAATCATCAAAGTCCACATGACCACCCCCTACAAACACACACATACCACATTAACACTTATCTTTACATTTAAACTGGCATACACTACCGTTCAAAAGTTTAGAGTTGGTAAGATTTTTTAATGTTTTTGAAAGAAGTCTCACCAAGGCTGCATTTATTCAATCAAAAATACAGTGAAAACAGTAATATTGTGACATATTATTACAATTTTAAATAACTGTTCTATTTAATATATATATGTATATATATATATATATATATTTTATATACATATATATATTTATATATATATATTTATATTATTCCTGTGATGGCCAAGCTGAATTTTCAGCATATTTACTCCAGTCTTCAGTGTCACATGATCCTTCAGAAATCATGATAATATGCTGATTTGAACATTTTGATTTTGTAAACATTTCTTATTATAATATTGAAGACAGTTGTGCGGCTCAGTATTATTGTGGAAGCCGTGATACTTAATTTTTCAGGATTCTTTGACAAATAAAAAGTTTAAAAGAACAGCATTTATTTGAAATAGACATCTAACTTTATAAATGTCTTTACTGTCACTTTTGAATAATGTGTCCTTGGTAAATAAAAGTATTTCTTTCAAAACAAAAAAACGCAGTGACCTCAAACTTTTGAACGAGTAGAGCTTAGGCAGTGTATAAATAGACACAAAAATGCCATCAGTTGAAACTGGTTTCAAGCATACACACTCACATTTCATTTTTATCTGCTGAATGATCTCAATCAGTTCCATCTCTGTTGGCATGTATCCCATGGTTCTCATGCAGTCTGCAACATCTTTGTAGTGCAAATACCCATCCTGGTCATAGTCAAACTCTTTAAATGCTACATGGAGCTCTAAAGGGTAAAGAAATGTAATCACATTTAATCACATCGCCAACTTTTCTTCAACTTACCGGATATAGTATTCTGCTATTTGTAATGGGCTACATGTTAGTGAGTGTGTACAAATCCATTGTTTTATTGTAAGAAATATTAGATATGTTCTCATAATAATAAAACGTATCCTAGTATAAGAGATAGATAGTTTAAAACACATTTATCTGTTTCCCCTCTTAAAATGGTGCTTTTGGCCTGTCCCATATTAGCAGTCTTGGCATCCTTATCTGTATCCAAATTGTATTTATTATTTTAGTAACTGAAATGATTTATTTTATCAGAATTTGTCATTAATTAAAATGTGCTACTTCTGTTTAATTTACACAGTTATTAAATGTTTATTAAAAATCTGAGTTTTATACTGCGTTTAGACAGGGTTTTTCAAACTGCATTTGTAACAGGGTTGCTAACATTACAAATCTCATATACAGTAAAATGAATAGAAAATTCAACATCTGAAGGTTTTCCTTTCCCTGACCATTTTTGAAAGGAAAAAAAAAAAAGAAGTCTAACCATGAATGGATATATGATATAAGGGCTGCCTGATATTGAAGAAAACTACTTGTTAAATAATGCGATATTCAATATGTGATACAATATTTCTTTTAGTGTGTAAAATCAACTTAAATCATATTTCAATATTTTTAAAAACAGAAAATGATATAGGCTAACCAATATACACTCACCGGCCACTTTATTAGGTACACCTGTCCAACTGCTCGTTAACACTTAATTTCTAAGCAGCCAATCACATGGCGGCAACTCAGTGCATTTAGGCATGTAGACATGGTCAAGACAATCTCCTGCAGTTCAAACCGAGCATCAGTATGGGGAAGAAAGTTGATTTGAGTGACTTTGAACGTGGCATGATTGTTGGTGCCAGAAGGGCTGGTCTGAGTATTTCAGAAACTGCTAATCTACTGGGATTTTCACGCACAACCATCTCTAGGGTTTACAGAGAATGGTCCGAAAAAGAAAAAACATCCAGTGAGCGGCAGTTCTGTGGGCGGAAATGCCTTGTTGATGCCAGAGGTCAGAGGAGAATGGCCAGACTGGTTCGAACTGATAGAAGGGCAACAGTGACTGAAATAACCACTCGTTACAACCGAGGTATGCAGCAAAGCATTTGTGAAGCCACAACACGCACAACCTTGAGGCGGATGGGCTACAACAGCAGAAGACTCCACCGGGTACCACTCATCTCCACTACAAATAGGAAAAAGAGGCTACAATTTGCAAGAGCTCACCAAAATTGAACAGTTGAAGACTGGAAAAATGTTGCCTGGTCTGATGAGTCTCGATTTCTGTTGAGACATTCAGATGTTAGACTCAGAATTTGGCGTAAACAGAATGAGAACATGGAACCATCATGCCTTGTTACCACTGTGCAGGCTGGTGGTGGTGGTGTAATGGTGTGGGGGATGTTTTCCTGGCACACTTTAGGCCCCTTAGTGCCAATTGGGCATCGTTTAAATGCCACGGCCTACCTGAGCATTGTTTCTGACCATGTCCATCCCTTTATGGCCACCATGTACCCATCCTCTGATGGCTACTTCCACCATGTCACAAAGCTCTAATCATTTCAAATTGGTTTCTTGAACATGACAATGAGTTCACTGTACTAAAATGGCCTCCACAGTCACCAGATCTCCACCTAATAGAGCATCTTTGGGATGTGGTGGAACGGGAGATTCGCATCATGGATGTGCAGCCGACAAATCTGCGGCAACTGTGTGATGCCATCATGTCAATATGGACCAAACTCCCTGAGGAATGCTTCCAGCACCTTGTTGAATCTATGCCACGAAGAATTGAGGCAGTTCTGAAGGCAAAAGGGGGTCCAACCCGTTACTAGCATGGGGTACCTAATAAAGTGGCCGGTGAGTGTATATGTTTTACATTCTTTCTGGGAAAAGAGAGCATCACTACAACTTCTGAAAGTGGAGAGCAGTGTTTTAGCATTACATAAAACATTGTCACAAATTTCAAATTTGACAGTGTCATTTCAACTTATATAGTAATATATAGTTAAATCAACCTGAAAACTTAACATCAAGAACATCCAGGTAAACAAAAAACACCTGAAACTAGGGGTGGACAATTAGTTTAGTTATTATATATAATTGAACTTTACATTAGTATAGGCTACATACTGTACCTGTTATATAATCTATGTGACTGTGCAGCTTAAGCGTAGAACCATCAGCACAGGCTGACTCACTGCTCTGGTATTATTAATGCTGCTTACTTCTCTATCCTCTGTATGCCATTCACCATTCATGACAATACCAATTCATTTTTAATCAAATTTATTTGTGTCAGATGTTATTGAATTTTGTCAGTTGTTTATCTTATGCTGAGTGTGTGCAGCATCTGTATTGTGTTCGTCTATGTGCTGTGCAATGGCTCGGATATTAAATATGCATGTTTTGTACATACCGTCTAGTTCCTCTGGCAGTAAATCTCTGTCCTGGTGAAAGTAAATGTGTGTGAGAGAGAGAGAGAGAGAGAGAGAGAGAGAGAGAGAGAGAGAGAGAGAGAGAGAGAGAGAGAGTGATAGAAAGGTAGAAAGGTAGAAAGGTAGAGGGACAGAGAGATGAGAGAGAGCAAAATGACCAAAAAAACTGTGACACAAAAAACAGCTAAATATGGAAATTATTACAGCATGAGAGCTGAACATCCTTAGAGACATCGCCCATTTTTAATCACTAATAACTGAGGTTTATGTTAGAATGCTTATCAAAGCTGCTCAGTGGCACAATGACGCATGGAGTGTGTGTGTGTGTGAGGGGGGGGGGGGGGGGGGGGGGGGGGGGGGGGGGGGGGGGGGGGGTATAATTGGATTACACCATAACATGTCCAACCATGCCTCACATCAACGCTTATACAAACAAGAACGGGGAGAGATGCGGGGAAATATTTAATCATTTTGCAAAAATAAACTGCATAAATGGTTAAGGGGCAATGTGTGGGGTGGGGTGGGGGGGATAACCGTTTATAATAATTTATAAACGGTTTATAAATGATTGCTTATTATTATTATTATTATAAAATGTTATTGCTGTATTTGATAAATGGATATCATCACATGCAGTTTTATTCAGATTCATGGACATATGCATGCTTTAATATGATTAAATCTTCCATCTTTTTGAGCACTTGAGCTAAACTGAGACGTGAGTGTTTAGATGTTTAAGACGCTGCTTTGTTGATCTTGATTTATTACAATATATCATTGCCATTGTTTTGTCTCAAGATGCGCACCATGTTTTGTTTTTTTAAGCATGTTTATAAAAGCTACCTAAATGTCCTAATTTAACTAAGACTTAATCCAAGCCCTGTTTGTGAAACCAGGCCTATTTTACTCTAGTCGTATTGGAACTGGTGACTTGTAACTCGTAATGAAGTCTTTTTCGCTGTAAGGTATATGGTTTTCAGGTATTTTTTACACCTCTGCTCTGCAGCTCATGCTGTTTATGGAGCAAAGAAGATGCTTTTAGTTTATAATTGTAGCGTCCATTGTCCAACTGAACTAAATGGTTTTTATTTCTATAAAAAAAACAAAGCAACAGTGGAGGCGGTGCCGCTGTGGCCAAGTGATGTAATCGGTGTACAGCTGAACACCATGTAACAACGGTAACCGACTACCACAGCAAGCCTCTATATGTATACTACAACTTTTATAAGGCCTAAAATTGATTTGTAAGGCTTTGCTAACTGAGAAATATTTGCATTTTTGGTGCCCAAGGGCATTGCCGACTTTCAAATGTTTCATTCACTGCATTTAGACTTTTGGACCAAATTCCCTAAAACACATATTTATTATTAAAAATAATGCATTACTCAGACGTCTCTGGAAGAGGGAGCAGTTATGCAACTTGTGAGTTGCTTCAGGCTATGTACCCATAGATATATGCTAATAGGGTCCCTTGTCTATTTGTTTTTATTTCATTCATCCCTCCAATCTGCCAAGCAGGAGCCATGGAGCTTTAGGCTGTGTGCATACATTGGTATATTTTCCAATTTGTGTCGGAGCACCTTTGTCTTGTTTGTCTCTTAGACTCTATCCATTTTCTCTCTCTCTCTTACTGTTCTTCAGTCTCTCTGTTTTCTGGCTGTTTCTTGCTCGCTGGCTCTCTGATCTCCAGACATACTCTTGAAAATATAATCAAGCATCTCCGAGTTTAAATGACTATGATTCATGAATCATGACAGATTCATAGCATCGGTTTTAACAGCTGGAGCAAGATGCTTGCTTAGGTCTGGGCTTCAGTGTACCAAAATAACTTAACTTGGCACTTGTTATTGACCTGATTGAGGAGGAAGGTGGTGCGTTGACAGGCGGCAATATTTTCTCAGAAGATAAATCACAGATTATGAACCTGACCTTGTGCTAAATAAAGACGCATTGATCCTGGATATATGTGTTTGAATAATCCATAGGTCAAACAAACTGGCTAAGACACCTATAAAAGGTTCACCTGTCTAAATTAAACCATCTAGAATCTAGACTAGTTTGCTGGTCTTATTTGGCCTCTCGGGGTGGTTTTAGAGTGGTTTTGTGCGCTTTTCAACTGGTCAGACTAGCTAAACCATGCAGCTTAACACCAGCTTGGCCAGAATAGGAGACCATCTTAAGCCAGCTCAGACCTACTTACGATGGTTTAATTGTTTTTCCCAGTACCATGGTACAGCGATTGTATCAGATGGTAATACCATGATTGCTGAATCAGTGTTGTAAACTAAATATTGTCAGATATTGTAAACTAAAACTATTAAAAATCGTTTTCGATAATTGAAGTAAAGCTGAAATCAAACATTTGAATAAAATATAAGTATTAGATGAAAGCTTAAACTTAATTAACTTTAACTGGAAAGTAGAGATGATGGCTACTAATTTAAGTACTACAATTGCTCAAATTTAAACTGAAATAAAAAAATTAAAGCTAAGCTAAATAGAAAATTTTATGTTTATATTCAAAACTAATAAAAATGACAAAACAACAAAATTGATAAAACTTAAATTAAAATGAAAACTGTAAATATTATTAAAGCAGATTCAAATGTCACTTATTCAAAACAATAATAAAGACTTAGCTTGATGATGCTGTCAATGAGCGTGGAATAATGGGAGTTGCCATCTTACCCTCCACAACCAATGGAAAGCAATCCGACAGGAGTAATCTCTTTGATGGGCGGGGCAAATGTATTAAAGTTTTATTAACGTTAGAATGAAGCTGGATGGGGCCAAGAGCCTGGGATAGTACTGCTCCTTTCGTTTTGATGGGGTTTTTTTACGATTAAAGTTACGTTTAACGTCCGCCTCCTTCCCTGAACTTTGTTAGTTAAGTTTGATCACTTAAATGCACATTATTTTATTTCACTGAAGTACCTTACTGAAGTAAATACCACGTTACATGAATATGGTAATCATTAAAAATAAAATACCATGGTATATAAAAGTAGCATTAGGTACCTTTTTTGTTATCCTAAACATTTAAGCTAGCATCAAAACTAGCAAGGATAAATCTAAAGATGTAGATTTACCTGTCCAAAGAGAGAATTAAGGTACTGTGTATATGCCGCAGCAATAGCTGAATTCTGGCTCAAAGATCTACTGCTGCGGCGTTCTTGGCTGTCAGATGAGTCCCTGTGACCTGAGTTTTTCGAGTCTTTGGAGGAGTTACGAAGAGCAGAGCGTGGAGGATGAGCATCTGATGAGGATGAATGACCAGACGAGCTGCTAAAGGGAGAGAAGACAGGTAGTGACCACACCGCACATCACCTGAATCAATGCAATGATTTAGAGCCATCTCGTACCTTTCTTTTGAAGAGGTTTTACTCCTCTGAGACATGCTAGTAGATAACAGAGGGGAGAGTTTAGATATTCAGAAGTTTATATACCATTGTTCTTTCCCTACTCGTTTGCGAATTCGTCCACTTTGAAATTGTAGTTGTAACAATTATTGCAACCATGCCCAGTCCATTGACATTAACATGTATAGAACATAGTAGCAGCTTTCCTGCCAAGTTACTGCTGGTTTACCCGAGAGCTCAGTGGTTGTGCAGAGGCCTGATTCCTGTTGAAATGCCCGTTGGGTTGCAGGCATTATAATAGTTAGAAAGGTCATAGGCTGGAATTACAATGACCGTTCCAAATGGCAACAATTTGATGCTATTGTTTTCCCTTTGTAGATTGGCTTCTTTTTGAAGAGAAGGACACACGGCATAATCAAACGCATGCTAGCGGCAGATCCAAGAGGACGGACCGTTCCTCCGAGCGCTGAATTGGATTACAATGGAGGCCGACAGGCGCACTAGACAGGCTATAAATTACAATCAACAGTTTAATATGCCCAAGCCAAGCAGCAAACCTCTGTCTGTCCTCTGCCCATCAAACAAGTCATTAAACCGAAATTGTCAATGGCTCCTTACAAGCAACAAGGATAAATTCAAAATGAGCAAATTGTTCACACAAAAACATTTATTTCTTAATGCCCTGGCGTTTTGATTCTGTAAAAATCAGTTGTCCTCCATTCAACATTTGGAAATGTTCAAATAGAAAGGAAAATACCAAAATAAATCTCTTCAATGTCTTATTTGTTTCTCTTAGACCATAAGCAAAGTGTGACTGATCAGATTTCAATCCTTAAAAAAGATGTCTCAAATTAGTCCAAGACCAAATTATGCTAGACAGTGTTATCCACGTATATAGAGTGGAATAGTCGGGTTCCAGAAATCCCGTTCTTTTTTTTCCATAGGGAAATTGAATTTTAAAGATAACTTAAGGCAATATACCCCTGGTGAATAGGGTAAAAAAATTAACTAGATATCTGTTACATGTGTGTCCTGAGTTTCCCCCCGTTCATAGTGTATTTGGTTTAGTCCTGTGTTCGTTTTCCCGCTCCTCGTTTGTGTTCAGTTCCTTCACCTGTGTCTAGTTAATTTGCCCCAGCTGTGCCTTGTTTCCCCTATCTGTTCTCTGTGTATGTAAACCCTGTGTTCTCCTTCACTCCTTGTCGGTTCTCGTTTATGTAACGTTGATGTTAGGTGTGTTATCCTCTGCCCGTCTGCCTGCCTGTATCCGTTTGTTGTTTTGCTTTATTAAGTAAAGTCTATTGTTTTTGGAACTCCTGATCTCCTCGTCTTCCTCTGCCTACACACCCCGTAACAGAAGAACCGACCGAAAATATGGATTTGGCAGCAGTAAAGATCATGCTGCTTTCCCAAGAGGATCTTTCCCTCGAGGCCCACACACAGAGGTATTTGGACTTGGTACCCTTTGTCCATTATGATGACACCAGCCTCTGTGTGTTCTTCCGGGCAGGTCTCAACGCCGAGACCACAGCACGCCTGCCCGGAGATGGGCCTCGGGGGAACTTCGAGGCCTTTGTTGAGTGGGTATTGGCGAGCTGTGGCTCTCCCTTCACCATCGGTCCAGGGGAAGAGGAGGAGCTTATTGACTGGGACACAGAGCTTCCGCCACTGATCCCAGCCAGCCCAGCCAAGCCCTCGCCGCTGGTTCCGTCCAGCCCAGCCAAGCCCTCGCCGCTGGTTCCGTCCAGCCCAGCCAAGCCCTCGCCGCTGGTTCCGTCCAGCCCAACCAAGCCCTCGCCGCTGGTTCCGTCCAGCCCAGCCAAGCCCTCGCCGCTGGTTCCGTCCAGCCCAGCCGACCCTTCATCGCTGGTTCCGTCCAGCCCAGCCAAGCCCTCACCGCTGGTTCCGTCCAGCCCTGCCGAGCCTGAGCTTCCCCGCAGCCCTGCCGAGCCTGAGCTTCCCCGCAGCCCTGCCGAGCCTGAGCTTCCCCGCACGCCTGCCGAGCCTGAGCTTCCCCGCACGCCTGCCGAGCCTGAGCTTCCCCGCACGCCTGCCGAGCCTGAGCTTCCCCGCACGCCTGCCGAGCCTGAGCTTCCCCGCACGCCTGCCGAGCCTGAGCTTCCCCGCACGCCTGCCGAGCCTGAGCTTCCCTGCACGCCTGCCGAGCCTGAGCTTCCCTGCACGCCTGCCGAGCCTGAGCTTCCCTGCACGCCTGCCGAGCCTGAGCTTCCCTGCACGCCTGCCGAGCCTGAGCTTCCCTGCACGCCTGCCGAGCCTGAGCTTCCCTGCACGCCTGCCGAGCCAGAGTTTCGCGTCACGCCTGCCGGGCCGGAGCTTCGCGTCACGCCGGCTGAGCCAGAGCCTTCTCCGCTGGTCCCGTCCAGCCCTTCAGAGCCTTCTCCGCTGGTCCCGTCCAGCCCTTCAGAGCCTTCTCCGCTGGTCCCGTCCAGCCCTTCAGAGCCTTCACCGCTGGTTCCATCCAGCATAGCCGGGCCTTCACCGCTAGCCCAGCCAGAGACTTTCCATGTCCCTTCTGCCCACCCAGAGACTGTCCCAGAGCCTGTGATTCCCCCCAAGAAGGTTTTGGGGGGGGGATATAGGCCACCCGAAGGTGCGTCTCCGCCATGGCCGCCCGAAGGTGCGTCTCCGCCATGGCCGCCCGAAGGTGCGTCTCCGCCATGGCCGCCCGAAGGTGCGTCTCCGCCATGGCCGCCCGAAGGTGCGTCTCCGCCATGGCCGCCCGAAGGTGCGTCTCCGCCATGGCCGCCCGAAGGTGCGTCTCCGCCATGGCCGCCCGAAGGTGCGTCTCCGCCATGGCCGCCCGAAGGTGCGTCTCCGCCATGGCCGCCCGAAGATGCGTCTCCGCCATGGTCGCCCGAAGGGGATTCTCCGCCATGGCCGCCCGAAGGGGATTCTCCGCCAGGACCGCCCGAGGGGTGGTCTCCTACTCCGCCATGGCCCCCTGACCAGCCTGCTCCGCCCTGGAGGCTTCCTGCTCAGGGTAGGCCACGCCCTCGTCAGCCTCCAGGGCGCCCGCCCCCCCACCCCTATTGAAGTTATACGGCGCGAGGACGCGCCTTTTTGGAGGGGGCGTTATGTTACATGTGTGTCCTGAGTTTCCCCCCGTTCATAGTGTATTTGGTTTAGTCCTGTGTTCGTTTTCCCGCTCCTCGTTTGTGTTCAGTTCCTTCACCTGTGTCTAGTTAATTTGCCCCAGCTGTGCCTTGTTTCCCCTATCTGTTCTCTGTGTATGTAAACCCTGTGTTCTCCTTCACTCCTTGTCGGTTCTCGTTTATGTAACGTTGATGTTAGGTGTGTTATCCTCTGCCCGTCTGCCTGCCTGTATCCGTTTGTTGTTTTGCTTTATTAAGTAAAGTCTATTGTTTTTGGAACTCCTGATCTCCTCGTCTTCCTCTGCCTACACACCCCGTAACAATATCATCATACTTCTCTATTTAATTGATAACATTAAAGGGGACATTACACAGGCAGTTTCTGCCAATCTGAGTTAATCTTGAGTACCATATATCCGAAGAATCTTTAGTTTTATTAGATGTATAAAAGACAGATACACTGTACCTAGTCTTTCCGAAAACAGGGAGCTCTTGGAGGCGTGCCGTGCAGCGCTGCCGACGGCTTCAGTAACCTGAACTTGCATGTTGATGGGCACGCTCTGCTGTCGCTCTGGTTGATGTGTGCGCACGCTCTTCCTGGAGAAGTGCCCATACAAGGAATTGCCCCCTTTATCACGTCATACAGGGCCATTTGGCACAGAAATATTCCGTCATACGTCCAACTTTTTTTTTTTTTTTTTTTTACTTTGGCCATGTTTAGCATGAGAATCCAACTCTTTAACAGTTAAATAAGTCAGAATGCATGAAATGGCATTAGACATCCCCTTTAAGAACTGCAAACATTTTTTGTATTACATGTTTTGGTAATATTTAAATGTGCACTAATTTCCTGAACAGAAATCTGAACACTGGATAAAGCCAGGTTCATTTTTTTTAAATCCCCATTGTTTTAGGAATAAAATGTATCAAATCAGGTGAATTGTATATGAACAAACCCCTCTGTAAAAACCTTCAGAATATGGATAGAATTGAACTGTGAAGTTTGGTGCATGTAAGTGCTGCTGAAGTTGAGATTTCAGAAAAAAATAATTTTGAGAAAACGGCCTTTAAAGAAATGTATTGTAATGGAAATCTAAATACGCTGCGCAAATGGATAAACAAGTGCAATAAAAGCACCAATTAAAAGTGTGTTTTGGATGTTTTCTTGAAACAACACTTCATGGAAAGCAAAATAGCCCAAAATCTCAAAATTGACCGATGCATGAAGAAAACATTTTTGCCTGTAGATAAACCTACTGTGAGCTACAAGGTTATTGATTGATGGTATATGGTTTTGTTAAAGGCATTATTTTTAATATTTATGTTCAACAGCAGAATTCCTGGTGGAAAAACAACATTACCTGTGATTCTGCAAAGAAATCTCCACCAATCAGAGAACTGCTATAAGCAAATAATGTCAAAAGAAGTATTTAGTACCCGCACCCACTTCCATGAAACCACCTCTTTAAATAAATATTTTTTATTTCTCCATCCTTTTAAATTTAATTGTCAAACACAATGCTTCATGGGATTGCAGTTCTTTCTATCATTACGTTATACACAGTCTTGTACTTTTGTCTTTTTGTCAGATTTGTTTTCTAATACTTTTTTTCCTTCAAATTAAAGTTTGTAATGTTGTAATTTACCTCTTAGCTAGTTGGTTGGCTTTGTGGCTTATAACTCTAACAAAGACTTTTTAAAATCCTTATGGGAAAATTAAATATACAAAAAAAAAATACTTCAGGAACCAAGGCCAAAGAAAAGGTGGACAGCACTGTTGCATTCTACAGTCACTGTTGTCCATCATGGCAATGTGTATCAGTCCTAAAATCCACGTAACTGAAACCGGCGCTACTTTGTATACATATCATGTCCGAATATTTATTTATTTACTTGCTTATTATATCTCTTATATGAGATAGCCTAACTGAGTCAAAAGCAAGGCTTTGATAAATCAATATATTGCCTCAATAAATTACATCTGAAGAAACTAAAAGCTTACTTTAGGAGATGTTTAATTAGTTTTTAGTCTTCACAGCCCAGTCACAGCAAACAGATTATTCATATTTGAATAGATGAGATGAACTAAAAGACGTGAGATCCTCCTGCTCTTGGTAATTTGGTGAATCTATTTCAGTGCATTAGTGACACTCACCAATTGGAAAAACCTGCCTGGCTAATCTACAAGAGTTATTAAACTAAGTGACCAATTGCTGTCAATCAGCACGTTGACACGAGCAATTTCAGCTCCTAATTCTTTTAATTGGAATAATTTAACAGAGGAGTGGTGGGATAATTATGGAACTAATAGAATCGTCCAAGAGAGCCAAAGCGGTGCTGGGGCAAATTACGCTAAGATACCGATCCTTTTTGATGCGAGTTGTGATACACCGAAAGTAATTATTTCTAAAATTACATATGAGATGATTGGTTTGCTGGAATGCTGCAAACTGTGACATCCTTGCACCTTGTTTTTTTTTTTTATTAAAGTTCATGAAGTGACTTTTTTTCTTCTTTTTTTTTATGGCAGGCACCTTTCAGAGCTGGCCTTCCAAAAATGACTGCATCTGACAGATGCAGATTAGATCAAACATGGACCTTCAGAGATAGAAATCTTGCGCACCCTGAAAGACTCAATCACATTGAGATATCTGTTCTAGCCAAGGACATCAGATACAGGCTTTCAAATGGCTTTGTCTTACTGTTTGACAGGTGAATGCTATATCTTAGAACTTAGATAAACTTTTGTTACATTTATAATGTCAAATAATATCAATTTATATTGATTTAAAGCAACAAATTGCAAGGAAATCGCCTTAGGTTAAATAGATGGGAAGAAACCTTGGGAGGATCCAAAACTCAGCTAGGAAAGTCTTATCTAATTTTTACATTTATAAGCTTAATGATTTCAGTCGTTTGTTTGTCTTTATATATAACATCTAGCCTATATGGAAGCCCATTTTGTCCTCAGAGTAAAAAAAAAAAAAAAAAAATTATTAAAAGTAAGTAAATGTTTATATTTGATCATGGTTATTTTATTTCTCCCAATTGTGACTTTATTATCTTGCAATGTGAATTTATCTCATAATTGCAACTCTTTGTCTCACAGCACGATTTTATATCTTGCAATTGTAACTTTATTTCTGGTAATTGCAGCTTTATTTCTCATGATTTCAACTTCATATCTTGCAATTGACTTTATATCTTAATTACATTTTTGTTTCTCATAATTGCAACTGTATTTCTCATGTTTTCATATCTCACAATTATGGCTTTTTTTTATCTTGCATAGCAACTTTGTTTTTGACAATCTCACTTTATTTCTCATTTTAAACTATATTACAATTATTTGGTTTAATTTTACTCTGGGGCGGAAACAGGCTTCTATAGATATGGGGACCAAATGTCCCATGGATATAAAACCTTAAGGAAAATGGCTTAACGACATTTAGTATGTTTGTTATGAATATGTAAAAAAGCAAAAACTGTGGGTTAGGTTTAGAAAACATATCTAGGCATAGAAAATATCAATATCAATTTTAAAAACGATAGAAGTCAATTGAAAGTCCCCACCATGGTAGAAAAACATACATACACTACTATACCATTAAAAGGTTTGAGGTCAGTAATATTTTTTTAAGTCTCTTATGCTCACCAAAGCATTTATTTGATAAAATACAGTAATATTGTAAAACATTATTACAATTCAAAATAACTGTTTCTATGTTAATATATTTTCAGATGTAATTTATTCCTGTGACTACTAAGCTGAAATTCTTTAGTCTTCAGTGTCACATGATCCTTCAGAAATCATTCTAATATGCTGATCTGGTGCTCAAGAAACATTTCTTATTATCAATGTTGAAAACAGTTGTGCTGCTTAATATTTTTGTGGAAACCATGATAAACTGTTTTTCGGTATTCTTTGATGAATAGAAATTGTTTTAAAAAAGCAGTTAATTGAAATAGAATCTTTTGCATGTGTGCTAAGGATGCACATAATAAAACGGTAAGTTGAAGCCCCTTGTTCACTATATCTGCCATGTTTTGTGATCTTCTCCTCGTATGATCCAAAACAAGGCCTTTGGCTCTAGATCAATCACAGATTGCAAGGACTTTCCTGGGTTACATCTGAAAACAAGCCACATAACAATACCCATGGAATGTTCAGACTGGCGCGATCGATCCCCATTACCGATTTTGTGTCATGGTGCTGAAATGAGGCCGCCCCCCTCCTTTGTCATTACGACCACGCAGCGATGGGATTTATCTTGCTCGGCCTGGCAGCCCCTGACAATCCACTATCAGTTGCTGTGTTTAGGGTAGCGGCTGTTTACACCAAAACGCAACTTTACATCTGACTAACTGCATTCAAAGGCTCATCACTTCTCTTTGGCTGCCTTTCATGTCCTTAACATTACTGTAATTATTCCGTAATTATGGTCTTCTCTTCCTGTCAGTTACTGTACTAATACAGCAAAGCTTTTGAAAAAGATTGCCGCTATGGCTGTCACTATGTGCGTGATATGTTACTGTTGAATATGCTTTGTTGTCTGTGGCGTTTAAAGTCAATTAGCCCCTTTAGCAACAGTGAAAAACAAATTCTGCAAGAAAGAGATTATGCAAGCGACTCTAAAATCTTAATTCATTATATTTTCAGCTTACCTTCAGGATGCGAAGAGCAAAATGTACAGTCCAGAACCACTTGAGTCAATCTTTTAAAATCAATTCCTCCTCCTCTGAGAGAACGTGTGGATTGACTGTAAAAAAGTGACCCTTCACCCTCCTTTGATAATCCAAGTAGGTGATAATCTGTCTAAATATGTTTGGATTAGCATGTGAGATGAGCATGTTGATGATGTGTTTGGATTAAGCTGTGCAAGTGTTCCTGTGAATGTGACTGTCTGAATCAGACATATTGCTCTACATTTGTCTGTGATTGCATGTATGCATATAACAGATATCAGCATGGTTATAAAGCTTCTGGGGCTAGTTGTCACACAAGGCTGTCTCGGAAACTATACGTTTTAGTCAAACGTCCAAAAACATATGATATAAAGTAGTCAACATTTGAAGTGGATCAAAACCTTTCATCAAAGTTATACATGAATTTTGAACAATACCCGTTCTCGTCTTAGGACAGTTTTGATTAACTTTTTTGATCCACTTCAAATGTTGACTACCGTATACACACACACACACACACACACACACACACACACATACACATACACACACGGTGCCTTGCAAAAGTATTCATACCCCTATGTTTTCTTTCACATTTTATGTTGCTGCCTTATGTTAAACTACTTTAAAAACTTTTTTTTTCACATCAATCTACACTCCATGCACCATAATGACAAAGCAAAAAACAGATTTGTGTTGCAAAAACAACTTTGCAAATTTATTAAAAAGGAAAAACTGAAATAAGTACACTGGTCTTCACAATCACACATCACCTGCGAATAATACACAGACACACACAAAAAGAAAAAGAATCGCACAAGTAACGGCCGACAGGGACGTGACAGTCAACCTTTCTGTTGAATTTGTTTTATTTTTCATAATTTTCCATTGTGAAAGTTTACCGACAACATCGCCAGACATTTGGCCACGTTGTCACAAAAGATCAATGAGTGTTAAATGAACCGTTTTCTTTTTCCTGACCAATGATGGTGGAAATGATCAATAGCATTTTTTTGTAGCCAAGACTCTAATATATGTGTCTATATAAAAATTGATCTTGACTAAAAAAAGTATGACAGCTAGCCCTGGTCTCGCCTACACACTGTTTCTGTGCACTATAGATACAGATACAGCAGTTGACCACATCAGCCAGAGGTCCATCAGGCGAGTTTATCTGAGAGATTGATTCCAACTTTGTTCATGAAGTGTGAATGAACACTTAACACGGCAGTGACAGCTTGCAAGGCTCATGAATGTAATTACAGCTCCAAATCGTGACATAAATAAGCTCAAGCTATTGCATATAATAAGGTCGTAATGAAAGGCTGTCATGAAGGCACAAATTTGGATCATGTATTTAGGAATAGGTTGGATACATCATTGCATGGACTTTTAATTAAGCCACAGAACTTAACCCTAGGGCAGAGGCTCATCTTGTTGTCTCGAAGATAATCACAAAATTTTTTAATTAAGATAAAAAATGGATAGTAATACAGTCGGGGTATGAATTCAAAGTTCATAATAAAGCTTTATAATGAAAAGTCACATAAATTAAATCTCTAATTTGTGCTCACAGCAAAATATATAGCTGGCCAAGAAACACAAACCCCTCTTCGGTGCTGTTTCTGTACCTCTAAGGCTAGGAAAATGCTAGGAAAATGTCAAAAACAAACTTGCGGGATAAACATACAGAGTAATGTACTGTAGCCTACTGTACATTATGCCAGAATAATCTGAATAATTATGCCAGATGGTTTTTAATGTTTCCATGACTCTTAGAAAGGTCATGGGTTCACATTATTTCAGGATTATATTATGCATGCTTACACAATGCCAACCATTTTCAGCAGCTTATTTACTTTGGTTTTCATAGTATGTCATGCGTTATAATTATCATCAGAAAGCAACTCGCTGTGCGTCTTAGTAAATTAGCTTTCTTAGACATGGACTGCAAATATGTCAAAACACTGTCCATCAAATTTTAGGCCTGGTATACAAGAGAGCAAGAGTCATTATTGATGTTTTCTTGGCCTCTGTTCTTCCTCCTTGTCCTTCATGGCATTTGTCAAAAGAAAGCGAGACACTTTTTTTCAGTTCTTCCTCCTGATCGCTGTTTGGGGGGGGGGGGGGGTAATGTTGAGGTGGGCATGCCGGGAGAGATGCTGTCATAGTCTATTACACTCGATTATGCTTACTGTGCTCTAAAAAGGCCTGATTTTGCGTTGCACATTTCCCTCGCAACTTTTTTTTTCAAAAGGCAAGTCAAGCAATAATGTTTTTCTAGTGTGAGCTCCCAATAGATGTGGGCCATTTAAAACCGAGCAACAAAACCAGAGTCAGCGAATTTAACTCACACTGCTGATACATAAACTCCATATACAGAGAAAATGACAGATTCTCAGAATATCCATGGATTCATTCTTCAAAGATCCAGTGAATGCAAGAAAGTTGTCATTGCGCGGCACGCATCGCAGAACGTGATAATGTTTACATTTTAGTGGGTAGCAGTGTGTTTATCCATGCGGGCTGAGGGTGAACATGGCCTGTTATTAGGGTTCGGGTGTGATGGTGCGGAATGCTAGAGGTGACCAAGATCCTGCAGGAGCACAAAATGGCAGCATTCAGCTTCATTAAACTTGGCTTTAAAAATCGCTAGACACACCAAAAAATAAGATGTCTCAAGCTGGCATGTGCATCAACTATTGGTCTCGCACACGGTGAGATGTATGAATAGGTCCAACACTCAAAAACAGACCATTGTCATACACACATTTTCTTTTTGGGGATTTTTCTCCACCCGTTCCTTACAAATGCATACTGGGCCAATACAATTGAGCGAAGATCAGTAATAAATACTATCATAATGAATGAGTGCCATTTTTACATACCATGGTATTTACATAGGGATTCACTACACTATATTGCCACAAGTATTGGGACACCCCTCCAAATCATTGAATTCAGGTGTTCCAATCACTTCCATGGCCACCACAGTTGTATAAAATCAAGCACCTAGGCATGCAGACTGCTTCTACAAACATTTGTGAAAGAATGAGCTGCTCTTAGGAGCTCAGTGAATTCAACCGTGGTACCGTGATAGGTTGCCACCTGTGCAATAAGTCCATTCGTGAAATTTCCTCACTACTAAATAGTCCATGGTCAACTTTTTGTGGTATTATAACAAAGTGGAAGCAATTGGAAACAACAACAACTCAGCCACGAAGTAGTAGGTCGCGTAAAATCACAGAGCGCGGTCACAGGGCGCACAGTGCGCAGAAGTCGCCAACTTTCTACAGAGTCAATTGCTACAGACTTTGCGTGGCCTTCAGATTGGCTCAAGAACAGTGTGTAGAGAGCTTCATGGAATAGGTTTCCATGGCCGAGCAGCTGCATCCAAGCCTTACATCACCAAGTGCAATGCAAAGCGTCGGATGCAGTGGTGTAAAGCACGCCACCACTGGACTCTAGAGCAATGGAGACGTGTTCTCTGAGTGACGAATCACGCTTCTGTCTGGCAATCCAATGGACGAGTCTGGGTTTGGTGGTTTCCAGGAGAACGGTACTTGCCTGACTGCATTGTGCCAAGTGTAAAGTTTGGTGGAGGGAGGGTTATGGTGTGGGGTTGTTTTTCAGGGGTTGGGCTTGGCCCTTTAGTTCCAGTGAAAGGAACTCTTAATACTTCAGCATACCAAGACATTTTGGACAATTTCATGCTCCCAACTTTGTTGGAACAATTTGGGGATGGCCCCTTCCTGTTCCAACATGACTGCGTACCAGTGCACAAAGCAAGGCCCATAAAGACATGGATGAGCGAGTTTGGTGTGGAGGAACTTGACTAGCCTGCACAACCCCATAGAACACCTTTGGAATGAATTAGAGGGGAGACTGTGAGCCATGCCTTCTCGTCCAAAATCAGTGCCTGACCTCACAAATGCGCTTCTTGAAGAATGGTCAAAAATTCCCATAAACACACTCCTAAACCTTGTGGATAGCCTTCCCAGAAGAGTTGAAGCTGTTATAGCTGCAAAGGGTGGGCCAACTCCATATTAAACCCTACGGATTAAGAATGGGATGTAATTTAAAGTTCATGTGCATGTAAAGGCAGACGTCCCAAAACTTTTGGCAATATGGTGTATGTTGGTACGATAATCTGTTTTTTTTATTAGGCAAAATATATAAGCTGTTTATCAATTCTCTGAATAACATGAAAATAATTATAGGCTTATCAGTATTATCCAGAATTTTAATACCAGTACATTCCTAATTTAAATAGTGCTTCAAGGTATTTTAAACTAGAAAAAAACTAAACAAAAACTTTTACCCCATGGTACAATGTCCAAAAAAATTTATGTTTTTTTTAAAGTGGTTTCCTTTCCGGCTGACTGAAATTCACTCTATTGTATATCACTCTTAAAATATCACTGTAATTTTTTGGCGTCTATGGTTCCATGAAGAACCTTTAACATCGATTGAACCTTTCCATTGCACAAAAGGTTATTTGTAGTGTGAAAAGTTTCTTCAGAATCAGATTATTAAAATGTTTTTTCACACTAAGAAAAAAAATGGTACTTTTAAGAACTGTTTACTGAAAGGTTCTTTTGGGAACCCAAAAATGGTTCTTCTGTGACATCGCTGTGAAGGCCCCCTTTTGGAACCTTTATTTTTAAGATAGTTGGCGTTTTGTCTCTTTCAATTAGAATCAGAACTTCAGTTTCTATTATTACACGGTTCTCCAGTGTATTCATGTTTTTACTCGCAGACAACTGACCTTGATGGACTGAACAGAAGAAATGAACTGAAGAAAATTTCCACGTCAAAGAAGGCGGAGCCCCAGAGCCACACCTACCTATTACATAATCGCCAGAGACCAATGGTAGTTCAAAGGTGTTTACCAGCCAGAGCAAACTTTTCTGGAAAGTTTGCTTAGGCAAGCTGTTTCAAACTCCTGAAACAAACACAAAATGTAGTTCGCTGAAAGATTTTTTGGGGAACCAAAAATGGTTCTATTGCTTAACCCCCCTTTTGGAACCTTTTTTTTAAGGGGTCCTATTATGCCCTTTTACAAAGTCTTGATTTAGGTTTTGGGGTGTACTAGATAG